ATAAAAGTAAGTCAAAATAATGAATTACACGCAGTTTATTCCTATCCATCTCAAATAATAACGACTTCTTGTATTTTCATCTGATCTAATCCATGTTATTAGCCTATCAATAACTACAGCTGTTTGATACTTTGCTGACGGGGACATTGTATAAATGAGTGCGGGTTAGTAGTTCTCTAGATGTGATTTTTAAGATTCATTCACAACCTCACTTGCATCTGTCGAGCATACCAGGATGTTCGTCTAGCTCACAACAAGTAGTGTTTTTGCGATAAGCATTTAAACTGTATTGCTGTATGAACGTCGTTTATGTGATTATAATGAAAGAGAATCAATTTCACCTACAGTTTACCCCAACATTTACTTCATATTTTTTTATTTCCATGTCGTCGTTGCTAATTGCAGTATGCAAATTCTAGTGTTCAATTAACATCGAGAGTTTATCTGAGATCACAGGAAAATCTTGACCATTATCACCTCTCCTTAAATGTTTGCCGAAATGTATGTAGGTTTTATGCAATAAAGGTACATCACGTCGACTTAAATAGCCGAAGTTTTGGTAGGGCATCCTAAATTTCCAATCAATTTGCCAGATTACTTTTTAAGTTAAAAATTTATTCAGTTTGTGTGTACCCATTATCTGAATTTTCCTATCGATGTACGAGACTACAACTAATCAGTCTGTTTTGACAGTTATGCTTTCTGTACGGATCACTTCGATATTGTCACTAAGTCACAAGTGTTTCTGGAAGAGATGGACGGTAGCTAGCAGAATCTCGAAATGAATATGAATTTCAAAATACAATGGTATTCAGCTAAGAAGCTTATTTATCCTTTATCAGTCACTATACTTCTCTGATCACTATTTATTTATTCCAGATCAATATGGTTTCTAATCAGACTGAATATACAACTAGTGAAGTGATTTGTCTTTTTTTATTATTTCTTCTGTAAAAGAATTAAATATGCAATCTAAGGACGAAAATTGTGACTATCTGATACCATACGTGACAACAGGTAGTTTTACTTGAATTATCTCTTTATTATTAATAATGAATGTGATAGATACAACCTGACATTCCTTACTGTAATTCATGCTCACCAATACTTTCCACTAATCTTCAAATGTGTTTTCCAGAATATCTAATTGTTTTCCTTAGGTACACTGAACTTGTGTTTCCTCAATCATAAAATCACAGAACCGACCATGTTCTGTTGGTAGCTAAGTCAAAATAATTAGAAATAAAAATGCGACAAACCATGAATCACCTCCGATTGCATTTCCATTGGAAACGAATATTAACGCATTTAATATTCATGAAGGAATTAATTCATGTTATGGAACAAATCTCGTCGAATGAATAAAAGGTGAAAGCATGGACTAAATATTCACAAGGACTTTGACAAATGAGTGGAGATATGGGGAAATGGCGAAAAGGAAAATGTGACTCTCCGTTATTTATCCACCATCCATGTTGTCCTCATATATGGTGATTTCCATTACTTTGATGCTGAAAACACGTTGAATGACTCCTTCAAATAAACGATATTCATGGATGATTTCCTAACCGATTTTATTTTGTATTTTAGATGTGGAACAAATTGATGAACAGATTTATTTGAAATACTTTGCTGTTAAATATTTGTATATCCAATCCTGTAAGATAAAATATTTGAATATTTTGATTGTTTTATTGAATAACTATGTCATGTCCACATGTAATTCACTGAACAATGGTTATCCACAAACTGTAATACTATGTGAAGTGTCTACAGAAGCTTCAACATGATGGTTTAATGAATGAACGTAATCACAATGACACGGAAGCTTCAAATGAAATTGAACAGTTTGTTGGTACTAATCCGAGATCGAACATTCTTAGTCAACGCATCCACCATATTTGTGATAGTTCTTCATTCAAATATCAAAGTTGAGATAGTGAGGTTCCGTTTTACGTTTCAGGCCATTTCGATAGAAAAAACTTAGCAAACCGACAAACAAAATGCAAGTATTCAGCCAACACATCACTTTCACATGAACATTGTTGAACTAGTAAAACGTTTTGAACAATTGCCTATACAAACACCATATGTGACATAAACGGAAAATAACCACCGATTTATTTTCTTAGTCTTCTCATTAATGATGAGATAGATATTGAAGTAAATGAACATTCAGTCATTTGGTGATTCATTTCATTTTCCCACATTTCAGTTAAACATAAATTTTTATCATATTTACTGGAAGTGATAAGTAAGTAACCTATTGAATCAAATCTACTGACAATATTATGTAGTATGTGTTGTATGTTGCATGAAGACGACATATTGTGTGTTTGGATAATTGAAATACGCAAATTACAGTTACGTACAACTACACGTCGGTTCACTCGATTTAATACACAGTTGCTTTTGAATTGAAATATCTATTCAAATGGATATTTGAGACACAGTCTAAGGAAAAGTAGATTTGAATGAATGTTTTGCGATTGCAGTTGACACTCGACAACATGGTGATTTTCTGATCCATTACTCCAGTGGGATCTGCACCATGTTTGATCAAATGAATACATACATGTTGATCAAGATCCATTAAACAGTGTTACTTTTGTCCAGTTGTCCACTTCCAATGTACACTTGTATGATTTATTATATTACACATCATTCTTATGTTTCTGTTTGAATTCCAGCTGACTATGAATACTAAATGAATTTGAATTTGCGAACGCTGAACTGGACCTGACTCATTTCTCATTTACCCATATTGTTGTAACAATTAATTTACTGTTTAAATAATCAATCACAAATTTCTTCTTTCATTAACAATATTCACCGTTAATATTAACTAACTCTTATTTGTTTATGTTGAAAACTTCGATGCTGTAAACGATTGTAATGTGTGAAATTAAATGCCTATCAATTGATGTTTGAGTTCTAATATGGTTTACCTGCAATAAGAATCGGACTAGTTAGTGATGGAAATGAGAATAGTATGAGGGATATAGTGAATAAAACAGTTAGACGACAGTCACTCGTCAAAATGATAACTGATTTCCGTGAATCACGATGTTAACTGCAATCTACTCATATCATTCAACATTCTGGAACTAACTTCTCAAACCCGAGTTCATGTATAAATATGAACTACATGAAGTGGATGGTACTTGGTTCTAGTCTCGGTGTAGAAATCAATACTGATGTTGATGCTTTCGCTTGGCGAACCTCAAAAAGGATGAGAAACGAATGCTGGATTACACTGCCCGCTACAATCCATCAATTGTAAATAACTAGTGTCACAATGCTTAGATCAATGCAAATCACACAATTTGCAAATATACCAAAAAGACTGATCGAAATTCAATCTTCAAGTTCGTCAATGAGATGTCACATCTACCAAAGTCAACTACTGACTACCGTCTTCTTTATATGTGTCAGGCCTTATCCCTGTTGGTTGCAGATTGTTGTCTACTAGTTCTTTGATACTCTGTGAATGATCTTGTCATTCTTCATTTGAATCGGATATGATGATGAGGTGAATCAATGTAGCTGTAATATATTGAGCAAGTGTGATAATTCTAATGTGCAATCGGTATACAAACACACTTGACAAAATTATGAAGAATGTAAATGAAAACCGATAGATGGTGTACAAGTGAAGTATTTAATGTGTAATTTCTATAATTTTTAAAGACACTCTAGAATTTTGAACGGAATGATGAATTGGTTTCGCCCACTAATTCACCGTTCACTGTAAGCTTATTTGCCATGGTATGTAGTTCGTCTTAGAATGTAAAGAATTTAGTCCTCAAATCGACGATAAATTGTATGACAAGAGGGAAATTTCGATGTAGGCTAATACAGATCAGTATAAATGAAAATTATAACTGATTGAAGCTGATCACCTCAAGCGACAGAATGGTATTGGAATATATTCGTGTGTTCAAAATCAGGAGAACGTCACATATTTTCCAAACATATATGGAAGTTAATAACCTGTAAACACATTTGTGAATGTGGTATGCAAAGGAATATACAGGACAATGATTCAGCTAGCTTCCTGACAGTGTAATAGTCATTACACACTGTTTGCATACGCATAAATCTGGCAGTAAATTTCCAACATTTTTTAAAATTAAATGAAGCTATGTGTGTGCACCTGTCGAAAGACTTAATTTGGTTTTATGAATGATCTGCAACGCTCCTGTCTCATAGTCAACTTCTTATTTCGGAATATATGATTTTGATTTTTAGATTTCAGGGCACATTGGAGAGCACTACCAAAGGTATGACAACTTGGATCGATGTGTAAATGTGCCTGGTTCTACGTTTTAACTGACTGACTAATTAATAATAACATACCACCGATATTTCTATTTTATTAAACTGACTAAATTAAAAACACAGAATAGTAAACAACAACAATAACATAGTGACATATGAACTGACGATTGTTTTATTGAAGGAAAAATAAAATAAAAATAACTAAACAAAAATATTCATAGATTTTCAATGTTTTTTCTTTCTTTCCTTTTTTTGTTAACGATTGTCGTATGTCTTAACAATAACTTCACTTGTACCTCTTCTAAAGTTAATGCCGGTCTCAAACCCGGATAAAAGAGGAGGGTTGGGGCATGGATGGATATATCTATTATAAAAATAATCTCTGGTTGACAACTAAAAAGTGAAATGACTAGAAATAACAAAAAAATTTGTCATCCATATAGAAAATAAGTCATATTATCAAGAAAAAAAAGGTATGACACACACACACACCTACGCACACACACACACACACAAAGTCAAGAATAAAGAAAATATAAATTAAAACAAATCATTTTGGGCGCTCATTCAAATTTTAAAAAATTCGTCATGTTAGCTGCTTCAAGTAATAAAGATGAAAAAAAAAGTCAAGTTGGTTTTTGTTACTATGAAAGATATTTTTTAGTTAAATTTTTTATTTTTAAATATTCTCCATAACAAGAATATGGATGAGCACATACTTCTAAATCACGTGTTGTATTACCAAAATTCTTTCCAACATGATATTGATAACCTATTCACAAAATAGAAATAAAAAAATGAAAATTGACAAAATTGTTCTTTTCATAGTTGAAATCATGAGTCGATTGAAGCTAGACCACTATGAAAAACCTGGAAGCACTGGATGGCCGTTTCGTCCTTTTGTGGGACACTTTGGTGGCAGTGCACATCCACGATCCCGCACTCGCGAGATTTGAACCCAGGACCTACCAGTGTTTTTTAAATAATAATTTTATAGGCTACAAAATCAGTTTTTGAAGGTGTTTTTTTCCCCCATTATGACTGCAATAAAACGGAGTCTTTTCATGATTCCATAACTGACTATAAGTTTATACAATTGACAATAGATAACAATGTTTGTGAAATACATTTACTTACTTACGTACTCACTTACGTACCTACTAACGCGCGTACTTACTTACTCACTTACTTACTTATGTACTTAGGTACTCACTTACCTACTTACTTACTTACTCACTTACTTACTTACGTACTCAATTACTCACCTACTTACTTACATTCGCCTGTTACTCCCAATGCAGCATAGGCCGCCGAATATCATTCTCCACATGAAGATTGAATGTGATATTAAAGAGTTTTGTCTCTCATAAACTACAGTTTGAATTTTCACAAACTTAAATCATCATTTTTATTACTCAATTCATTTAACAAACATTTCATATAAGCAAACATGGATAGTGGCTAGCAGTGAAATCCAGCACAAGCGTTTCCTTCTATTTGGGACTCGTCAGCTGGATGTACCTACATCTCAGACTTGATATTCACTCTGAGACTCAAACCAAGTACCTTTCGCTTCAAACGCCATTGCGTTATCCACTCGGCCACCGAGTCCTGATAGCCACTTCCTTGTGCGATGGGAAGATTCAAACAAACAATACTAAATGAACATTTCATATAGTTTAACAAGACTCATTCATACAGTTTAACCATGAATAAACATAACTGTGGTACGAATAAAGATTGATAAGATGAAATATAAAACAGAACATTTAAATGACTAAATAATCATCAATTACCATGATGAAACTGAAATATCTCTCTATGTCATTTTGCTATATCAAGCGTGTTATGTGGATTACTTATATCCATATGAGTAGTATATGGTGATGGTCAGACATAGAACGCATTTTGGCAGAAGACCGATAAGGAAAGAACTGAACTGAAGCGTAATTGGTAGGAAAATGCATGAACAATGAAATTAGAGAAGGTGAACTTATATTTACAGAAGGAATAGTAAAGATTGAGACCATTGATGGTTATTTTGCAAGTTAACTGTCCATTGTATGGTAATCAGAATTTAGTGGGATAGTCTGTAATTTTTTCCTTAAATACATTCAATTGTCCCCACAGTTGTATTCTTGTTCACTACATGTTCAAGAGAACTGACAAGTGTTTTTCACCATTTTAGGTTTACTTGACTGAAATGGTTACCTAATATGCTTGGATCATTTGGTTACTTATATAAAAACAAAAAAGTTCCATAGTAACAAGTAGATTACATCACTTTAATCTAAATAATAATAATAAGAGTAGTTCACTTACCATGTATATGACCTTCATAATCTGGGATCATACCTTCTTGATGAAATATTCTTGCACTATAATAATTACTATTTGGTGTATATGGTATTGAACTATGTGGACGTGATGAACTAAAAATAAGAAATGACAATTTCAATGTGAAGATTATCAGTCTCAAATGGTATGATCATATTCAACCACGTAAATTACAAAAAAAACTGATCTCTCTAAACAATAAAAGATTTTGATGTGAAGAAGATTGTGCACGTAATTTCAATAGTTGAGATCATGAGTCAATTGAAGCTAGACCACTATGGAAAACCTGGAAGCACTGGATGACCGTTTCGTCCTATTATGGGACTCCTCAGCAGTGGGCATTAACGATCCTGCCTTGCGAGATTCAAACCCAAAACCTACCAGTTTCGCTTGCGAGCGCTTAACCACTAGACCACTAAGCCAGCCGGCAGCCAATGGTGTTAATGTCTAACTTCAACCAATCCACGAAATTGAGCAAACATTCACCAATGTCCTCAGTGATTTGCCATCTCACAACACACCTGCTTGAACTCCACTGGTTACTGCTTATCACCAGAACTCCAGGAAATACCTCATGAAGCCAGTCACTAGTGAGCATATGATCATTATTAGAAGGGGGTTTTGTGAAGATTTAAGTAAGAGAATCTATAAAAATCAATGTACATTGAACATTTATTTTGTTCTAGTTTGAAATATTTCATCAACAGCCATCCTATTTAGTCCTGGATTTTACCTGATATTGTATTCAGAACATAATGATATAGTTTGTACGGTAAATGGCCATAAGTGGAATTCGTGAGACGCATTTTGTCATATTTCAGAATTCTGTGCTAGATGTACCTGCATCGCTGTATTTATTTTCATACCGACACTCAAATTTTGTACTTATCACTCCAAGTTTTATTCATTGGCCTACTGATTTCACATAGTCAATCACTAACTTGTTAAGCAGGTTGTAATTTGGTATTGTTGATACTCAAGAACTATCGTTGATAATTTTTTGATCGTTTACACAAGTTCAAAGGAATACCATTCATGAGTTTGTGTACTACTGGATATTCATATTTACATTGATTATAATTGAAGAAACAATTTATTGTACTTCTTTTTATGCTTCTTATTTTGTGCATAAACCTATACTACTTATAAATATTCAGTAGTTTTCAGTTTGCATACAGTAGTACATGATTTGTTCTGTTCGGAAAAAGAAACAAATGCCCTGTATTTTCAATCATTTAGTTCATTATTCAGACGAATAGATAACAAGCGCGTACACCAAGCATAGTGTGCATCGTAGTTTAGAACATGTCGTTAGTGTTTAAATCCATCCAATTAATTAAGGCTATAAAAACTGACAACATCAGAGTTGTATCTTAAACATCCATCGAAAAACTTAGTTTGATGAATCCCTTACCTTAACAACCCACACATGTTTCTTTCAGCTACAATATGGCACTACTAATTTACCAACTTAACTGTTGAAGACGTGTTGGGTTTAGTATTCATATATTCTATATTTAGGTTGACATCATTCCTCTAGTAAAGCACGGACTAAGCGTTTTAAATTGTACTTTGTAGTACCAATTGACAATTACATGATTCACGAAAGCTGTTGAATGAACTTAAGTACACTAGACAGCACCTAACTTTGATTTATTTTAACTTTCACGTTAACCCTGTTCTTTTTATATGAAAATGTGCGCTTCAGCTAACATAGATCCCTTACTTTTTGTCGTTCTATTTCCGCACTTATGAGCCTTGTGTGTTTGTCTGTCACTCATTGATTTATACAATGCCTGTCTCTTTGCCACACTACCAACTGTTCGTTTTGAGCTATATTAACGTTCTTAACGAGTAGTATAGCGAGCTAATATGTTTACTTTCCCCGGTTCTTCTCAGCTACATTTCTCTTATTGTCTGGCGGAACGAGTGAATAAATGTAAGTATCCAAAACCCATTCCCGTACTCAACGCATTTCATCCTATTATTCTCTAAAGTGAATCAAGTAAAATCAAACTGAAGCTAGAGCAACAAACCACTAAAAATCAAGTCACAAAGACATGATTCTGATATTCTTTAAACACCAAAGACTGTATTCCAAATCAAATAACACTTCTTATGAGGACGACAAGTTGAAACCCCTCAATCCATTAGTCTCTATTCTATATACATTTGGAAAAGTCATTGTGCATACAATCATAAAAAGTACATTAGTTAGTTATGTAGTCAAATAAAAATGCGAAATTAGATTTCATATTCAGTGTATATCTCTGGCCGAGATGAAAATTTACATTTCTATTCAGAAGTTTTCATTTAAAATTATTGCCCGAAGTGATAACTATTGATATAAACTTCTAACTAATATTCAACAATTTTTCAATAAAGTCCTGTGTTCATAAAAATGGAAATCCAATATGGTTGACAAAAGTAATTTACCCAGGCACATGTCCCCCCTCTTCCAAATTTGCAAATGCCCGACGTTGCTCAAGTGATGGCCCACCACCATACTCAATTGTTGTCATGTTGATATACGTTTAACTACCCACGCTCTGCGTTTCTACCCTAATATGTATATTTATGAGTGTGGCTAATTAAAACAATTTTTCGAAATTTATGTGCCTTTCTGCCAATGTGTCAAATAATTTATTTGAATCATTTGTCTTCGTGACAATGTTGTAATATTTCTTTACTATCAGTCTTCACCACACTTTAACAATGACTTATATGACCTGTATAGTCTGATTATTTTGTAGACATGCTGGAGCCGTAGCCACTCTTAATAGTTTGGTTCTTCAGGCTGTTACAGGATATTTTTAAATAATTTATTTCAATTACTACCGTCTGGTGACTCGGACGATCTTGATCTTCAGACAAAAGCTCCAAACCGACTAGTAATATTTCAGGCATATTAGGAGAATTCCTACTATTCTGCAAGAATCTTTGTTCTTGTTCTTTCCAAAATGATAAAGGGAACTATGTGCATGAAGTTTCAGCGGAATTTAGTGTGTAAGAAAACAACTCAGTATTTCTAATGGGAGAGTGATGGACCAGCTCAAAGGTTAGATTGCATTTTCGCCGATCAAGTAATGGACTTTTGGAATTAGTATAACTGAATTCAATACTTACTTACTTACGCCTGTTACCCCTCGTCGAGGAGCGTAGGCCGCTCACCAGCATTCTCCATTCAACTCTGTCCTGAGCCTTCCTTTCCAGTTCTTTCCAGTTGCTATTCATCCTTTTCATATCGGCTTCTATTTCCCGGCGTAGTGTGTTCTTTGGCCTTCCTCTTTTCCGCTTCCCTTCCGGATTCCAAGTTAGGGATTGAGTCGTGATGCGCATTGGTGATTATCCGCAAAATTATTTAGAACAAGCTAAAGGTTTGACTAAAATAGCATTTCTCAGGCAGCACAGGTAACCCATTATCCTATTCAGTACCTATCAACAAATAAACCCTGAAAATCAAGTTGGACTGGATGACTATTGATTCTTGATGTCAATGAAAACCACTCGTAAGCTTTCACATGACTGTGCGAAGATATCAGTTCAAACTACACCATATGCATTAAATCGGAATTACTCAGTTTAGCGAATCTCTCATAGTGATTTCACTGAGCTACTAGTCAATTGATAACTGATTGCCCTATTGTTTTTCAGATAAATCCCTGTCTACCGACAACTATTTTGTCATTTCCCACAGTGATTCAGGGGTCATGGAGTTTGAACATATCAGGGTAAAAAAATTCTGAGGCCTTCCAGCCTATACAAATCTTGAGGTTCATGTGAGATTTAATCCAGAGCCTTGAACAAATGTAAAGATCTGCTCTATTTTCCAGTCTCCACACTCTTCGAAAGCTTCTTAGTTAAAAGTGAACTGGCTTCCGGTTGAAAAAATAAGCAGTCACGTCCACATACAAACGAGGTAACAATTTTGCAGCTTTAAGTTTCAAACCATTTTCATTGTTGTCTGCATTGGTAAGCTCTTGGATGACGGTGTAAATGGATCTCTCAGTGATTGTCAACCCAAATGCTCTCCTTTGCAAGTCACGAAATAATAATAATAATGATAATAATAATAATAATAATTTATTCTCAAATAACAGATTGTTACATGAGGCATGCCGGTTTACAGGCAAGATCAAATTGTTAAAGAAGTTACAATTTTCACTGTTGAAAATTACTCAGCTGGGTTGATATTTCATAAGATATGAATGTAAATGGATTTCATAAGGAACATGTCAATATCAATATCACACTTGGCGCACTCTATGGAGGTAGCGTTGCAACATACAACTGATGTTCAAGAATAGATACATGCGAAGTTGGGGGCTTTTAGAAGTTTCGAACTTATATCCCTCCAGAATATCGGAAACATTAATAACGGTGTAGGACGAAGTCACCCGTGCCATTTTTGTTTTAAGTGGAGTATCTGCAGGAGGCTGAAAAAGGTGTAAGAAAAAGGAAGGACGAAAAGCAGAGCACACAATTTTCATGGAGGAATAGTTAACGTATAACCACTTAGTCTATTTGTCTGTTACTGAAGTATTTATTAGGTAAGAACATACTAATGTGTTAAAGAAAAATAAGTGTGGGCAAGGTATGAGTGGATAAGGAACTGTATAAATGAAGGTAGTTCAGAAGGAAGTATGGAATTGTGTAATTATAAAATAAAGTGCTGAAAACAGTATTCCGATACAAATGGCTGTCTCCCTTTTTTTGAAGCTGTTTGAACTCTCTTTTTTTTGTTTACAGATTTTATAGGGTATAGAGTGGGCTTCGCTTTTAGCCAATTGTCTAGTTTGCTTGTAGTAGGATTACTTGGTAGGAAGTGGAACCAATTCAGCTTTTTTTCAACATGATTCAAAGTGGTATTTTGCATGAATAATTTCGCATCAATACCGTTGGTTCGTGACACCCCACTTGACATAAGGAGCCGTAATTTAATATGTTCTGCCCCACAGACACAGGTGGATTGAAGTTATCTCCCCACCATCATGTTTGCTGGTCAGTAACGCCACCCTCCCTCCTTTTATGATGTTAGGCTCTCTTACGTTTGTGGTCGGTATGAATATTGCTTTTATCAATGACCATATTTGGAATACACTGTCTCTACAAGTTCCATGTTACAAGCAAATCAGATGGTAATAGCATTTGTATTATGGGTTAAATATCCATTTAATATATCGTACTACTATGAATATAACTAATGGTAAAGGTTAGAAGAGTCAAGTCAGATTATATGCGGTTAAGAGATGGTAAGGGCTAATAGCAGACCAGAGGATATGATAGTAAATATTGTAAAATTTTCAGGGTAAGAAAAAATAAAACATTGAACAACTCACAAGTAGGTAGTGTGATCTAAAACTATGTGTGGAGCATTTGATTCTTCCAACTGTAGCTTGACCAACCTGCTTATATAAGCCTTCGAAGATTACAAGTGGTAGTACAATGGAATGGTGATTGTGTTCGTAGAACTTAACGTCTTGACCAGTATAAATACATTTATGTTTGCTATTATAATAGTAGACCGATTCCATCATTATAGACTTACGATGATGTGACTATTTAATCTATCAGATCACTCATGGAAGTCGCATCACTGCCTATACTAACTCGTCTTGCGTGTCAGTCAGGAAAGCGCTTTTCAAGGCTTTTCAAGAACATATTTGACTTGTGGTTGAATTGTATACTGAATACGAAAAGGGAAAAGTCTCAGAGAGTGACTGTGTCTGTATGGCCGATCCAAGCCATACTGGTTGAGCGTTCCGCGTTTATAATTTCTGACTTTCTCCAAGTGTTAAATGTTGAATGAAAATCTTTCCACTTATTATATTTTTACCTTTAGAAATCGTATGGTTAGGCGACAATATCACCACAGGTTCTCAGCTCGAAAATCAATTTGGTAAACGCCTGATGAAATGGATTGTAGACCACTTGTGTAGGAGATTATAAGGTTTCATATTTCACCCTCTTCTATCCAGATGGTTCTCAATTACAAGCGAATTGTCATAACTTTTTGGTTATACCCCGTTCATTGTTTACGAATAATTCGGATTGCAATCTGGACCTCCAAATTCTGATTTACTGGTGCGATTTTAATATTTGAAGACACTTTCTATGTTATTTCCCCTTGCCATAAGATGGATATTGCTCTGTTGCAACCCGTTCACAAAAAAGGTAACTTCAAAGTTACTCAAACTCATGAACAAACCATATTCATTTTGAACAAAGACTCTTGTATTGCAAACTTCGCAATATAAAAAGACTGACAGAGTGCATGATGTTGGTGTAATATATTACTTAAAATTTTAACCCTAAAAATCTCCTGACACGTTTTAATAACTAGCCAAATTTTAGAGGGACATCGTCCAAGGACAGGACACGCGAGAGGGCCCTTACAAAGGTTTGGGCAAACGTATTCGCAGTTATATCCAGTGATCCGTGTAGCCAATTGCCAGCAATAATAATAAGTGAACTGTAATATTTCAAATGTTGAGAGTATATATCATCATATACCAACAAGTTACTATCAGGACTGCCCGATGCGTCTTCCAGTAATCTCAAATGGACCACCATAAGGCATCACAGTTCTTCTGAATGAAGACCTTTGAACTCGTATAACAGAGTTCAGGCCATTTCGGTGTCCACTCCGGTGAGCGCGATTTTGAGCAACGCTTTTTTACAGGATGAGGTTGCCGAACCAATGTTGAACTCTCCTCTTTTACACGATCTTGTGACCGGCAGCCACCCTGGAAGTGCAAAGTGTGGAGTTTTCTTTTGTAGTTCAGTAGCAACAATATATAAAATGTTGAAAAGGCAAGCTGCAACATAACTTGCAGATATCTACCAACTACTGCTTCACAAAGTGTTATAGTAACTCCACAGATTATTCCAGATATAAAATCACGTCGCCTAATGTATACACGAAACTGAGTCCATTGAAATGGCTTGTATAGACGTAATGCATGGTAGGTAATTGCCTGTTTCGAATGAGTAACACTTATGCTTTGAAAATACGTCATAGATAAAGGAAGTATGTCAGTTGTTGACTGAGTAGAACAATGATTAAATATTCAGGTCATTCGACTTTCAGCCATGTAGTCGCAGGTCCGAGCTCCTCCTGACCTACTTCAGTATAGTCTAAAGATCAGTATCACTAGCTCCCACACTTACATTTTGATCAAAGCCATGAACCCGTACTTACTAAATAATTAAGTAGAAAATAATAACAAATATATGACTTAGTGGATTTAGGTTGAATGGAATAGAAGAAAAGCGTTCAGCTTGTGTTTGTCTTCTGTTTACCTTACTCTGGTATCATAACAAAAGTGATGGCAGTCTGTCCATAGAAGGAAAAACATACAGTAGAACGAAAGGGAGTTTGAGCTCCACGGCATTCAACATCATTGTACGAATTGTTTTTTCGTATATACCACTTATGACTCATCTGATGATTTTTATTTACTATGCTTGATTCGATTGTGCATTGTGCAAGATTTTTGAAATATTAAGCTGTCATTCAATTGTTTGCCAACTTTGACATCTGTAGTTATGATGTCGACTAAAATCACAGTCTATCTGCTTTAACACAAGCAATAGGGAGTGTCGTTAGCCCATCTTAAAATGAATTTGATAGGTGGTATTGTAAGTAGGATATGATTGATCGTCGAGTGTGAACGAGCCACCTGTGATAACAAGAAGTATTTGGATTATAGAGGAAACTAGGAATCCCAGAAATAATGCAATTTAATCAAAAAGTACTAGACGTACACGAACGCATATATTGTATTTAGAATTCGAAATTATGCAGTCATCAAATACAAAGGAATCATCGCTTCACATAAACACCACACTTAAGACTTCTGAGATGACATCCAATAGTTTACATTTATAATTTCATTCAATTCGCAATATTGTACTACCATTTGTCCTTTCAATATCTATACTTATTTACATTGTATTTAGTTTAAATAAAACGAGTTATCCAGCTATTAGCAATACACTTCCGATCATATACACCTATGCAAAATTAAACCGATAAATGTCTGAACAATGGACGACACAGTGAAAGTAAAGACAAAAAATTCTATTCAGTGAACAATCGATAACTGAAGTAAGTCATATTAATATACAATGTAAACATGTGAAAAACACTTGGACATTTCTTGAGCTGTCTACTGCACTCCGTGCTTGTTCTGAGATATGGAGGTCTCTGTAATGTAGTCAAACAGCTGGATAAAAAGAAATGACGAGAGTGAGAAGCCCTATTGATTGCTGCTTATTTGTTCTACCTTACATCAGCCTAAAGTACATTTCCTACAATTAAGTTTGTTCTTGTTTAGTTTTTTAAACTTTTCAAATAACTTATTTAACAGTATAATAACATTGTGAAGATCTTGACATTAGTATTATCGTGTCCGTATGAACATATTTGCTTGATCACATTTTACATCCCTCTTTCTAGCTTGAGTGTTAGTTGCTAGATTCGCTGGAAGAATCATTCGCTTTACCACACATATAATTGTGCTTGAATGTTATTGATTCATTCGATTCTTCATTCAACTCTTAATTAGACTTTGCATTCACTCGCTAGCCCTCATCAGCATTTCTGCTCGAATCCACTTGGTGTGCTTGTGACTTAATTATCTGTGCTATTCAATGGTAAGATGTATTCGGAGCTTCGTTTCGCATTCCGAACTTTACAATCCCAGCATATGTCATTTTGAAGTTATTGCTTCTTTAATCTCTTTCCAATTGTTTTTCATAATTGTTTATGATATGGTCTGAAAATTATAATATAGGGACAGAATAATTTCACCAGAATGTAGCTATTTGTTCGTCAATATCTAATGAAAACTGATTCTTTCATAGATTCGGTCCGTTGGTCATTTTATTCTCGCACTGGGAATAATACCAAATTTACTGTCTTTGTGACTTAAGGTAAACTTCTGTAGTCAAATACTATCATATTTACAACGGAACGAAAAGTGATTTTGATACAGTTAAACAAAAGCGAGTACAGTAAAACAATCACTAGAACAATTGGTTATAATACTCATTGTTTCCATTATACCAATCGCGTTCTCGTCAAGAAAAGTAGGTCGCTACAAATCTATGATTTTGATCTTTTCTATAATATTAAGATTACAGTTTCATTTTATGATTAATTTCAATTAAAGAATTTAGATTCAAATATACAGAATCCCACAACAACCAATCAGATGACTAGAAATGATGTTTATTCAATCAGCTGATATGTTAATTGTATCCATGATGTTTTGATTGGTTAAATCAATTGATGAACTTGATTCAAAGTACAATAGTTCTCTTATTTATCTATTTATTGACCGATTCTCCTATTCACACATACTTTTTACTATTGTAACTATACAATATATAAAAATGGTTATGCAATTGAAACAATATTAAGATGTAAATTAGATAAAGATGATTTTGATCATTTACTATTCTGGTCTGGTTCTTTATGTCACTTAGATAATGATAAACCAGAATTTAAACATTTTATCTCCACGGTTGGTCAACCATAAAGTACCATGACATTTCACTGATCGTTTTTACTCGTGTGTACGTAAGTGAATGGGGAGTCTAATTTGTTCAAGTAAATTTTCTGTAGGTTGGTTTAATCTAATATGTAGTTGAAGTTGTATTTGTATTCTTTCACTGTTGTGTCTTTTGGTCTGCATAAAATAGAATAAAGTGATTGTGATTGTTTGTGGAGCATATTGATCTGAAAAGGTTTTGAAATCCTTATGGTGATTTCTGACGGGGTTCCCACATATGACAGAGCGACGTTTTTCCTGGTATATGAGCTTGGTTTTATTCAAAACAAAAATGAAAGATTCACAATTTAGAACTCTGCCTGTAGCTCCTACGGGAGCCACTGCCGGTTCCAACCCCGGATAAAAGAGGAGGGTTGGGCATGGGGTTAGTGACCCCATCCGGTAGAAAACTAACTCCCTAAGAAAACGCTAACCAGAAAAAAATTATTCAAACTATTTAAAGTCTGCCATGGGAGTTGAAAGAATAATTATAGCGTCTCATAATGAAAACCGAGTTCTTTCGGAAGTCATGAGGCCGATGCACCTCCTTACAACCAGAGCAACAATTTTTATAGGTACATGGAATATCCGGACAATGTTGGGTTGATGAATGCTGGTTGGCGGCCTATGCTCCATTGGGAGTAACAGGCGCAAGTAAGCAAGTCACAATTTAGACCATCTAAATCGGAGAACTTAACAGCACCAAAATGTGTTTAGTATTTCGTCTAAAGTTCATCATCACTTTAGAAAAGATGCAAAATTTGAATGATATTAGTAACTGACAATATTTCTCAAATGTAAATCAATTGGTTTGTTCAAAAACGATTCCTTTATCTTCAGCTATCATTTCAGTCATTTCTTTATGAATTGAATCCTGGTAAGTCATTACATCTGATGTTGAGGTAGTTACAATTGAGTATTAAATATGTTTTTTACTGAAAATATAAATAATAATTAAATTATAAGGTAGCCAACTTACTCATACTGGTGACATGACTCAGAAACACAATGATAGGCTTATGGAGGGGGGATAGGATCTGACTCAAAACTTAGATCGTATGAATGGTTATTGTCAAAATATACATCCTGTTTATCCTCGTATGTAATACATGATGAATAACGAAGTTAAATAAGTCAAATACGGGAATGGATTTTGAATACATATACTTTGTACATTTATTGATCTGGACAGGAAATCATAGGGATGAAGCGAATAGAAGAGAGCGAAGCGAGAATAACTCACATCGTAGATGGTGGGTAAGCAAAATCAATATAGTGAAGTGAGAATGATGCATATTGGAGATGGTGGGTAAGCCAACTCGCTTCGACCAAACGTTAATCAATATTTATAGTCAGATAAAAATAGATGACAGATATGTGATGAGTAGGATAAGAAGGTGTACACACATATACGCTCATATAGAAATAGCCAGGGTCAACAAGTGAATAACTAACGTGGTGAAAACATGACTCAAGATGGATAGGAAAATTGGTTTGTCTCCGAAGCCAGAATAAGGTAGGTATATGAGCTTAACATATCAACCAACACTACAGGCTAATTCCTTTTTCTATGAATGTGACCTGTACAAAACACTTGAATGTCTTTTTGAAAAATACCATCAGTTATTTCATTAACCAACATGTAGCTTCAATGTTAGGGAACAACTGTGTCAATGCCTTCTGGTTTTAACGATGACCCAGATAAAGTCATTCCATAATGTAAAACAACTACAAGATGTTTCTACTTTAAAGCAAATTCTTAGTTCAATTCATTTGTGAATTCTAATTTCCAATATAGTTTACAGATAAGATAGAAACAAAAGAAAAGCAATGTCCTATCAAAGACGATGTGAACATTGATCAACAAGATGAAATATTATCCTCTAAAGTTACGTAAGTTAAGTAAACATAAAGTGAGTCATATATTTCTATCGTTGAGATCATGGATCAATTGAAGATAGACCACCATGGAAAACCTGGAAATACAGGACTGTCGTCTCGTCCTATTATCTGACTCTTCGACAGTGCATATTCACGATCCCGCCTAAGGGACTCGAACCCACAACCTATTAGTCTCGAGTAGGAGCGCTTAACCTCTAGACCATTGAGTCGGCATCCGATGGTGTTAATGTTTAACTTCCTGGGTGCTGGGTTAGAATCTCGCGTGTTGGATCATGGATGCGCAGTGCTGTGGAGTGCCACAATAGGACGAAACGGCCGTCCAGTGCTTCCAGGTTTTCCATGGTGTTCCAGCTTCAATTGACTCATGCTCTTAACTATTAAAACTACCATCATATCCACAAAAGTCCCTTTCTCATTTCTTTATATTTAGAGAAAACTAACATGATTCAACGATGACCATTCGAAAATTACACATCTATTTAACTGATACAAATTTTATTGGTTTTGATATTTTACAAAAAGCCATAAATAGATGGTATCAATCAAATAATGAATTTGGGTATATGATTACGAAGTTAATTCATTTAACCGATTTTCAACATCCCCTAACATCAAACAAACAATCCATCTCATCATTATCATCATCCCCACCTCCATCAGGTGAAAATATTGAAACATTAATTGCCAAGGCAACTAGAAGAAACACTATAGTCTATTCAACAACAGCTGAAAATGAAGATTTACAACAGTTAATGAATATGTTTAAACCATTCTTTAAAAGTGATACCATAATCTCCATGAATACAAATAATACTCAAATTGATCATCATATTCTAACCTTGAATGACTATTTAAACAAATTTGATCATTGGATTGATAAAACTAAGATGACTAAAAAAACTCATAATGTCATGGAATAAGAAAAAGAGAATTCAGCGAAGAAAATTTTCTTTTCGACGAAATTATTTACTTAAGCTGTACATTCGTATATATATAGTGATATGGAAAATATATGTCTATAGGAGGCTAGAAATGATTGCATTACAAAATTGATTCGACAATAATGAGGTGACGTACTAATCAAAGGGGTAAGGAAGAAAATAATTTATGGGTCAGATAATAGTTCAATTGACAGATATGAAGAAAAGCGACAAACACAAAGGTCATAATAATAATAATAATAATAATAATCTGTCGGTTAAGGGCTTCGGCTCGAAACTGGTAGGTCCTGGGTTCGAATCCCGCGAGAGTGGGTTCGTGGATGCGCACTGCTGAGGAGTCCCATAGTAGGACGAAACGGCCGTCCAGTGCTTCCAGGTTTTCGATGGTGGTCTAGCTTCAATTGACTCATGATTTCAACTTTGAAAAATCTGAGTAATAATCAAGAATACTTGTATAAGGTAATAATAATAATGACTGATTAGAGTTTAAATGTAAAATAGTAATTTAAAAAACAAAAAAAACCCCATAATATTCAGATAAAAGTACAGAAAAAAAAACAAAACAAAAAAACGTACCCAATAAGGGAATTAGGGCCAAGGAAGGGTAAGAGGTTGGACAAATCGTTTCTGCACGCAAAGTCCAGGCTTGAATTCATGAATTGCCAATGCCTCAGCAGTGCATAAAATATTGATTCGACCTCCCTTTGAACCGGTTCCTTTAACTCTATAGATTATTTTAAAAGACGTCTCTTTTGGAGCAATGTGTCCACAATTGATCAAGTGCTCTTGAATCGAACTGGTTATCTTCTTACATTCACCTTTTAGGAGACAAGCTGGATAATGTTCAGAGATACGTTTGGAAAGCGATCGCTTTGTGCGGCCTATATAACGTGCTCCACATGAGCAAGTAAATTTATAAATACACATCGATGTGGCCCAAAGCGAAAGTTTATCCTTAACACACACCCGAATAATAGGCCAGCTAGAGAAAACGATTCGGAGCTTGGCTGTGTAGAAAGTTTTATTCAACGTTTTTGAAATCCGTTTATTCAGGATTTCAGCAGCCGTGTCTCCTTTGAATTCCATATTCATAAACAAGGTTTTCTTCTGCACCGTCAAAGTTATTTCTTGCTGACGTCTAGATGTTAAGTTGCTATCGACAAACCTCGGTGGATAACCGTTTTTGATGAGGGTCTGTCGAAGATGAAGTAATTCTTCATTTATTGTGTCAATAGAACAGATTCGCTTAATCCTAGATAATAAAGAGTGAATTAAGTTCCTCTTTCGACTCAATGGAACCCAACTATGGAAATTCGTATATTGTCCATTCCAAGTGGGTTTTCTATACATAGATCTTTGTAAAAAACCATCAGGCAATCTTTTCAAACGGACATCCAGAAAATGGAATTCGTGGTTCGATTCTGCCTCTAAGGTAAATTGAATTGAAGGATGACAGTTATTGAAAATATTTAATATTTCATTATGGTCCATGTCCTCATCACAAATAATGAAAGTATCATCCATATACCTCTTATATAAATGAAATTTCTCGATGATTGGACGAAGTGCTGAACTTTCTAGATTAGCCATGAAACAATCAGCCAAAAGAGGACCCAATGAAGAGCCCATTGCAACTCCATCTGTTTGTCTATAGAAACCATCATTAAATTTAAATTGTACATTGAGCGTGCATTGTAGGAGTAGTTCTTTAAGATAGTGTTTTGGGATACATATCTCCAGATTATTATTTTCAATATAGTCACATAAAAAACAAATAGTTTCTGTCAGAGGAACATTTGTAAACAACGACGTAACATCTAATGAGAGCATTTTCTTACCCATTACGTTGATATTTTTGATTGAGTCGACAAATTCAAAGGAATCAAGAGCATTGTATTTGTTGATATGATTTTTAACAGGTTGTAAAATGTCAACTAACCATTTAGCAATAGAGTGATATGGAGAGTTGTTCATATCAAGTATTAGACGTAAAGGGACATTATTCTTATGAACTTTTGGGAGTCCATATAGTCTAGGTATGACAGAACTCGATGGTTTGAGATGTTCAAAGAGGTCACAATTGATAATGTACTCATCTTTCATCTTCTTTAGGATTTTAATTAGCATCTGTTCGGTTTTTTCAGTTGTGTCATTTTGGACGTTTTCTTTAGAGAATTTGACCGGATCAGATAGTATCGAAGATATTTTGGAAATATAGTCAGGGCGATCCATAAGTACAATTCCTGCACCCTTGTCTGGGCGACATAACACTAAGTCATGATTTTTCCGAAGATCAGATAATTGAGATTTATGTTTGTTTGTGAGTAAGCGACTAACTATAGGGATTTTATTTACATATTGATTACAACAGTCTACAAGAGTTGTTTTGAAATGCTCAAAATCTTTATTAGATACTGGAATAAGGTCATTTGTTTGACGGATAAAGACTTTCAAACTGGATTTTAGCGTTCAATTCATTAATGTTAGTATACGTACTACAAAATTTAGGACCAAAGGATAATGCTTGTAGCTGAATAGTCGATAATGTTATGCTTGAATAATTGAAAACATATTTCTCTGGCGATTCGGGAAAAGAAGCTTGAGTCTCCGTCTGTTTTAAACTTTTCATTAATTTCAAAGTCACATCTTCCGTACGATTTTTGTTAACAGTATCAATGTAGTCCTTAAATTTGAAACGTTGATCTTCTGACAAATCAAATAACGTGTGTGAACGTAATGAGATATTCCGTTCCAATTCTGGGATTCTATATATATACGCATGTACAGCTTAAGTAAATGAAAATTTTCTTCACTGAATTCTCTTTTTCTTATTCAATGAAAATTTAGTATTTTCATAGTTGAAAGCGTGAGTCAGTTGAAGCTAGACCACCAGGAAAAACCTGGAAGCACTGGACGGCCGTTTCGTCCTATCGTGGGACTCCTCAATAGTGCGCATCTGCGACCTCGCCTCGCGAGATTGGAACCCAGGACCTACCAGTCTCGCGCCAGAGCAGTTAACCGGTAGATCACTGAGCCGACATACGGTAGTGTTTATGTTGAACTCCAACCAATGCATGAAGTTGAGCAACCGTTCACCAATTTTTAATTTATGGGTTAGCAACTGGATATTCGTGAAACTCATTTTAAATCTAAACGATAATGCATAGCGGATAGTGATTAATTTAAAGTAATTATCAAATTAAACTCATCTAAGAGCTCTTTATCTTTTCCTTGGATCAATTTAATACATTATTTTTACAAGTGAGCAATCCATGATTTCTGGTAAGCGTTTTTTAGCGAATTAGTTTTCTACGGTATGGGGTAGCTAACGCCATGCCCAACCCTCCTTCTCTACCCAGGCTTGGGACCGGCAGTAGCCCCCAGAGGAGCTACAGGCGGAGTTTATGAAATTCCAAGAAACAGTTCACAATTCAAAAGGATCTATCTATAAAATATCTTTATTGAACATAAAGAATTTGAAACTTCTTATTAAAGATTAGGAATAATGATGTAAAAAAGTTACGTTTACATTATCCGAACGGCTTAAAACATATTTCACAACAATAAACTGTTCAAAACAAAAAAAAAGAAACAATCCTTAGAGTATCCGCACTTCATTATAAATGTTCATCAAACTGACTAAGCTAATACACAAGAGCTTATTATAGAAGTTAACTATCATACTGATCATTAATAGTACTTTAGTTGATAGGGTGGGTTATTTTTTCTTTGTTTTTAATGTGTCTGAGGAGTCGCTCAACTGATTTATGCTCGAAATCTGATGACATGTAGTGAACATATAAAGACTGCTAATATAAACTTATTTGATCATAGAAATAAAGTAAAATAGTACATTCACTTTGTATTGTTTGTTTGAACTGAATTGAACAGTATTGAATGTCAGTTAATCAGTATATTACTATTTGAATACATTTATAATACAATATAATTAAGTATTTATAACTAACAGATATACTTAATTAACAAAGTTATATAATTAATCTTTAAGATATGATTCTATATCATTATATGATTTTAATAAATCAATTGACCGTATGCCAATTTGTTATGATTTTATGTCCAGCTTTGATATGTTTGAAGTAAATCGATTCCGCGGTAACGAACGAAAGCCAATGACACGATAAGCTATTCTAATCTGTTGTCCCAGGACCCGCTTACTTGATGAAGAAGTCCAAGGCAAGTAGGGGAATATATATGTATTCCGTAAGCAGCCTAATACAAGCAATCAAATAAGGGAAAAAGTCAAGCGCATTTATACAGCAACAAATTGTCCTTGAGCATCATTAATAAATAGCACACACTAAGAAACAATGGACCAATAGCGTTTAAGATAGTTTACAAGTGGGAATTATGACGTGAAGGTAAAAAGAGAGCGTTTGGCGCGAAAACAGCTAAATTCAAATTTCCAAAATAAAATTACAAAACTAAGCCATTTACCAAGTAAGTTGTGGGGATTTGACATCCCCAACAAGCTTATATCATGTGATTTATTCAGCAGTCGGAATAGGACTTTTCCAATCTTGGCACTGTGCCAAAACAATAACCGGTATTAGCAGTCTAGCGTTCTTATTCGTCCTTTATTATCCTAGCCCTTCCAGTTGAGTGCAGAACACCAATAACAGCTTCTGTTATGCGAATCATTTATTTCAAGCATACTCTGTTGATATACCAGACAGACAGACTACATCACACTATAAAATAGAAAATAATATTTGTACAGGATCAAGCTAAGAAGTGGCTGTGAACATGGGATACAATAATCAATAAACTGAATATAATTTAGGAACAGTAAATCGTACAATAATAATAATCCATAGGTCATAATGAAGCTTATAATAAGATAAATATAGATATACACAATGCAATTACTTAATAGTTAAACCATAAGAATATATATGTAGAATAATCGTCCATTCATAGATTCCTGCAAAGGTATTTGTCTTCATTAGGATAACAACACTTTGTTCCTCTCCGCCGCCCCCCCTCCCTTCATATTATTTATGAAATATCATTGGTTATATTAAATTTCTCATTTAATCGATTTATTAATGCTATTAGAATACATTTGATTAATTTAATTTGTATTAAATTAAATGTAGATCTTTTATTTAATTGATCTATTAAAGAGATAATACATTGTGTATTATAAATATGAATTAAATCATTATATCCTAACTCTTTTATTAATAATTGAATTAAATATGGATATTGACTTGTTAACCAATCTATAATAAATAATGAACGAATAATTGTTGCTATAGATTGTTCTTGTTTTTGTTCTATATTTGAAGTTGATATAAGAACAGAATGAATAGCCGCCGCCGCCGCCGCCGCCGTCGTCGTCGTCGTCGGCGTCGGCGTTGTTGTAGTAGTTAATGAATAATTTCTTACTTTTGAATGAATTATACTAAATGTTGTATAAGAATGTGATAAAAAACAATCTAATAAATAAAGAATTGATTTTTTTGATTTAATAATTATTCGATGAATAATTTGTTTAATCCAATCTTCTTCTTGATGAATAGTTCTTGTATTGTTATTGGTTGTTCTATTTAATATAGATGATGTATTTGAAATAAGTTCAGTAAATAAATAACTAATTTGATAATTTAATTGATGTATAAATATACCAATTTCAATATGACTTTTGAAAATACTTCTTAGTGTTGATGTTGTGACGGTATGTAAATCTTTATTGAATACTTCTTGTTGCCATTGATTAACACATATAAATTTTTTACTCATTATATCCTATATGAAAGAGAAATTTAGTGAAAATAGATATGTTAATGAATAAGAATAAAACAATTTTGAATTCAGTTCACTTAGTATTGTTTGCTTGAATGTTTCCATTGATGGTTAGGATTGAAATACGAACAGGATGCACATATGGCCAATAAGAAATTGATCAATAGCAATCCTAAACATCAATGGGAAGATTCAAAGAAACAATATCAAGTGAATTTAAACTTTACCGCATCGCACAAGCAAGTGGCTACCATGACTCAGTAGCTCAGTGGATAAAACGATGGCATTTGAAGTGAAAGATACTTGGTTTGAGTCCCAGAGTGAAAGCATCGACTCTGAGATGCAGATACATCCAGTTGACGAGCCCCAAATAGGACGAAACGCTTGTCATAGATCCAACTGCTAGACTGATGTGTGGGCGAGGATGACAATAATTGGTTGTTTTACTGAGTCAGACATTAGATAGGATGACAGGTGTTATATGTGTTATATATATATATTCCCCTATCCTTATTATGTATTGACTGTTATTAATTGACTGTTCCTTGTGTCGGATTTTTGATGTGGAAATATATTGACGTTATAGTCAGGCTAATCTCGTGTTCTTGATCTAAGTTATGTGTTGAAGTCTTGTAGAATAGACATTGAGTGGGAAATCTAGTGTAGATATTCGTCTAAGGTAAATTAATGTCCCATATACGTGTAAAAAGTGAAAGGATTGTTATAACAAGAAACTTTAGTGTTATAATAAGTATCCTAATTTTATAACATAGACAATATCGAATATGAATTAAGATATTAAAATAGTCTTCATAGTTATGTAATTTAATAGTAGAAGGAATGAGTACATAGCAAGAGAATTATGAATGGTAACTTTTGAGAACTATTTATGAACCAATTTTGTTAAGTAATTAAACTATTCATATTCATGTTCCTTTTATTATAAGCTTTATTTTGACTCATAGACTACTAATGTACGATTTACCATTCTTGAATTATCCCTAGTCTATTAATTACTGTCTCCCACATTCACAGCCACATTTGGTTGAATCTTGTACAAATCTTATTTTCTATTTCATTCTTACGATACGGTCTTTCCGTTTGGTATATAAAATCAGTATGTTTGAAATACAATGATTCGTATTGCAAAGGCTGTTATTGGTGTTCTGAACTTAACTTTCCAAGTGCTCTAGACTGTTTGTACGGGTTTCCGTGCGTTATTGGTCCGATCGATAAATCACTGTTTTCCTAGTTGGCGATCTTATCACGTCAAATATTAACTGGGCACACAAGCTATAAGATATAACCATTAACAACCACAACATAACACTTGCCTGTACAGGTTATAAAATACTGCTTATGAATTCAATATAGGAAACTAACATATCAACAAAAGAATATCTCAAGATAGTTTACTTCATTAACTGACTTTTTATTAGACAACTATGGTGCACTGGAAACGAACAGAAAACTGATTCATCCTAATAGGCAAATCTCCAATAGTGTCAACCTACAAAACCTTGAGAGGTTTATGCCTGAAACCTCCAGGTATTTCAACAAACACATAATATGTGGACAACTAAGTTACCTTCCAATGGTCCATCTTTTTGATTTCTGTTAGTTTTCTATACTAAGAGATTATAATTCAGAAGGGGATTTGTGGAGATTTCAGTATTTTTCAAAGTTGAAATCATGAGTCAGTTGAAGCTAGACCACCATCGAAAACCTGGAAGCACTGGACGGCCGTTTCGTCCTACTATGGGACTCCTCAGCAGCGCGCATCTACGATCCCACACCCGCGAGATTCGAACCCAGGACCTACCCGTTTCGAGCCAGAGCCCTCAATATCTAGACCACTGAGCTGACCGGCATCCAACGGTGTTAATGTCTAACTTCAACCGATCCACAAATTATGAGCGACCATTCACCAATTGCCTTCAGTGAGTTGTTATCTCACAACAGATGTGGTTGATTCCAATAGTCAAACTGCATAGTAGGACGAAACGGCCGCACAGTCCTTCCAGGTTTTCGATGGTGGTCTAGCTTCAATTGACTCATGATTTCAAATTTGAAAGATTATCATTCATTTTTACTGGTGATTTTTGTCGCGTACCTACCGGAAGAGAACAAACTTCATCAATATCTGTAAGGTATTGTTTAAATGTAAAGATGTGTTATAGGTAATGATTTACTTTTACTTAAGTACATTCATAGAGATATGAACTAATACAGAACTAGATTATCCTTGACCTGATGCATAAAAGAGATTTAAATCAGGTGACAATAAATTGTTAATGCCTTACATTAAACCATAACTATCATCATGATGTTGGTTATAGATGTGAACAATCCAAAATATTTAGTGTGAATATTGTTTAAGATTTGTTCTTTAATGGCGAGACTACAACGCATGAAACTACTAAGAAGTTGCTGTATTTGTAATTACGAGTAATGAATGACTTGAAGACCTTGTGCAGACTACTGTGATGTCCTTCGATGTAATATATATTGAAGGAAGACGTCTGCTAGAATAGGAACCTTTATCGCTCGATCCAGGTTGAGACTAAGGCATATTATAATAATTGCCTTCAACTGCATAATAAAAGCACCAGTAACATTGGCGGCAATAATCGCAGATGTTACTGAAGCTTCGGCTGTGCAGTAGTATGAGTATTGTAAGGACATATCTATAATAAAAATGATAAACTTACACAGCCGAAGTACACACAAACAGTAATGAACCTATGTGGTCGAGGCTGAGAGAGGTTTTACAACCCTGTCATGGCTCCAGAGTCCAACTATTATGGAGATATATGGATGAGTTCCTCCACCTTATGCATTACGATTTCGGAACCCTTGAACCTATTCCTAACCTTGACGAGTTTTTGGACCATATAAATGAAGTGTATCCACTTTAGTTATTTAGTTTCGTATAATATATTTTTACTCTACACTGACTGATTACTGATTGGCTAACATTTGGCTACATTTTAATGCATGTAGATTCCCTAACCTAGCAACTTATCTCTTATAACAGGTAACTTATCCACAGAAACTCTCTGAACGTTCAGCACTGTATCCTGACTGTCTTCCAATGAATGAATCAAACAAACTAAAGATATTTAATATTCATAATGAATAACTCACTAATTTTTCCATTTCATATCTTCGTATCCATGTCTCCAATTCAATTTGAAAACAATTAGACTGTTGAACACTTTGTTTATTGAATTCATTTAAAGAGAAATCATTGATTACACATGGTAACTGTATTAATTGTTCAATAAGACGTTGAATAACTCCTTCTAGTTTCTTCTTTATAATTATTTCATCCACAGTGATTTTGATTTGATCCTTATTCAATAGGTTAAGATTTCTATTGGATTGTGTGAATATTGGCAGAATATATGAAAGTAATAAATTGATTATTTTCATTAAATGAATAACGAGTTTCATGCGATGACTTCTTGTTTGTTTTGATTGAGCTCCTGTAGTGGGTTTATCATGGTCTTCTAGTTCAATAAACACCTGTGTTTCTTTGTTTCCAAGAAAGATTGGTTGCGCTGGCAGTGTATATGTTATCTATAATGAGAGGATATTTTCTAAGTATCATTTTAACTAGTTTGTAGTAAATCTAAGGATAGTACCATTGTAGTGAAAGAGAACACATGAGGGGACAATTAAATGTATTTGAATACAAAATTACAGAATTCACTTAGTGTTACTTGTTTGAATCCTCCCATTGATGTTTACGACTGCAACTGGTCATTCTCTTATTGGCATATATTCATACTGTGCGTATTGCTTAGATATAGCAATGACGTTTGAAGCGAACGGTACTGGGTTCGAACCTCAGAGTGAACATCAACTCTGAGATGCAGGTACATCCAGCTGACAGGTCCCAAATAGGACAAAGTGGTGGGCGTCCTGGATTCCACTGCTAGCCACTATCCATCTTTGCTTACAAAATTACAGAATGTTTTGGTAAGATCTGGAAACCATACACAGTCAATACTTCATTTGGAAAATACCAGTCAATCGTCTCAGATTTCATTGTTCCTTCATTTCCACATCAATCATTCTCTGTTCTCGTTCTCTTTTCTTCGATCTTCTTAACCTTCTGCCACAAGGCATTTCACTTTCGTCTAATGAAACATACTACTTATATATGTCGAGATCAGTAGTGCACATCACATTAGGATTGTTATTTCTAAATGAATAAATATTTAGGTTGCCATTAATAATAATAATTGTCGCATATAAAATAAAATGGTAAATGCTGAGAAAAGTATCTTCTTACCTTCACTAGTTAATCGATGAATAGAAACTGGATTAGTGATGGTGATTTCTTTGAGATAATAAGATTCTATTGATCAAGTTGTAATGTGACCATTGGCCAAAATGATTCAATATCTCTGAGAATTTGATTAGGTATAAGCTAGTTGGAAGCAATCAGCAGGAGGCCTTAAATGTATATATTATTATTATTCTTCAATATTATACTTTTGATTTAATATAGAATTCTCAACATTTTTCATCATGCCTACAATTTTGAGAGAACTAATACTCCCCATGGTGGATGGATACACATCATTCACTGTCAAATCTAATGACTATTTAAGTAAAACCTATCACTGGATAATGGATGTTTTAGTCTACTGCCAGATCCCCGTGAAAGTCCGATCAAATATGATGAAACTTATCGATTATAAAAGAAGGAAATCTGACGACTCCATTAAACTGAATGCTATTTTACCTCTATGGAAGACAGACGACATACTTAAGTAATTTGAGAAACTCCATTACCTAAACAAAATATCTTGAAAGATCTTACCTGAGTTACAAGAAGTTCCATCATTGTAATGACTTTATTAGGTAATCCTTTACAAGTATACAAAGGATAGTTTTCGAAAACGACTCTCAAATGATTATCCAACTGAATCAACTGTTCATTGATGAGATGAATATAATTGAACTTCGCCTGTCTTTTGTTTATTAATTCATTGATCATTTTAGTTTTATTAATCCAATGATCAAATTTGTTTAAATAGTCATTCAAGGTTAGAATATGATGATCAATTTGAGTATTATTTGTATCCATGGAGATTATGGTATCACTTTTAAAGAATGGTTTAAACATATTCATTAACTGTTGTAAATCTTCATTTTCAGCTGTTGTTGAATAGACTATAGTGTTTCTTCTAGTTGCCTTGGCAATTAATGTTTCAATATTATCACCTGATGGAGGTGGGGATGATGATAATGATGAGATGGATTGTTTGTTTGATGTTAGGGGATGTTGAAAATCGGTTAAATGAATTAACTTCGTAACCATATACTTAAATTCATTATTTGATTGATACCATCTATTTATGGCTTTTTGTAAAATATCAAAACCAATAAAATTTGTATCAGTTAAATAGATGTGTAATTTTCGAATGATGGTCATCGTTGGATAATGATAATTTTCTCTAAATATAAAGAAATTAGAAGGGGATTTTTGGTGGATATCATAGTACTTTTAATAGTTGAGATCATGAGTCAATTGAAGCTGGACCATCGTGGAAAATCTGGAAGCACTGGACGGCCGTTTCGTTCTATTATGGGACTCCTCAGCAGTGAGCATCCACGACCCCGCCTTGCGAGTGAGATTCGAACCCAGGACCCAGGAAGTCAGACATTAACACCATCAGATGCCGACTCAGTGGTCTAAAGGTTAAGCACTCGAACGTGAGTCTAATAAGCCCTGGGTTCGAGTCCCTTAGGCGGGATCGTGAATGTGCACTGTTGAGGAGTCCCACGATAGAACGGAACGGCTGTCCTATGCTTCCAAGTTTTCCATGGTGGTCTAGCTTCAATTGATTCATGATTTCAACTATGAAAATATATGACTCACTTTATGTTTACTTAACTTACGTAACTTTAGAGGATAATATTTCATCTTGTTGATCAATGTTCACATCGTCTTTGATAGGACATTCCTTTCCTTTTGTTTCTATCTTATCTGTAAACTATATTGGAAATTAGAATTCACAAATGAATTCAACTAAGAATTTGCTTTAAAGTAGAAACATCTTGTAGTTGTTTTACATTATGGAATGACTTTATCTGGGTCATCGTTAAAACCAGAAGGCGTTGACGCAGTTGTTCCCTAACATTGAAGCTACATGTTGGTTAATGAAATAACTGATGTTATTTTTCAAAAAGACATTCAAGTGTTTTGTACAGGTCACATTCACAGAAGAAAAGAATTAGCACGTAGTGTTGGTTGATATGTTAAGCTCATATACCTACCTTATTCTGGCTTCGGGGACAAGCCAATTTACCTATCTATCTTGAGTCATGTTTTCACCTTGTTAATTATTCACTTGTTGACCCTGGCTATTTCTATATGAGCGTATATGTGTGCACACCTTCTTATCCTACTCATCACATATCTGTCATCTATTTTTATCTGACTATAAATATTGATTAACGTTTGGTCGAAGCGAGTTGGCTTACCCGCCATCTCCAATATGCATCATTCTCGCTTCACTATATTGAGTTTCATTACCCACAATCTCCGATGTGCGTTATTCTCGCTTCGCTCTCTGGAGTTGGCTAATCCGCCATCTCCAATGCGCTCCATTTTTGCTCTGCTCTCTTCTATTCGCTTCATTACTCTGATTTTCTGTCCAGATCAATGAATGTATAAAATATATGTGTATTCAAAATCCATTCTCGTATTCGACTTATTTAACTCCTTTATTTATCAACGTGGATTAAGTCATGTATTACATACGAGGATGAACAGGATGTATATTTTGACAATAACCATTCATACGATCTAAGTTTTGAGTCAGATTCTATCCCCCCTCCATAAGCCTTTCATTGTGTTTCTGAGTCATGTCACCAGGATGAATAAGTTGGTTACCTTATAATTTAATTACTATTTATATTTTCAGTAAAAAACCCATTTAATACTCAATTGTAACTACCTCAACATCAGATGTAATGACTTACCAGGATTCAATTCATAAACAAATGACTAAAATGATAGCTGAAGATAAAGGAATCGTTTTTGAACAAACCAATTGATTTACATTTGAGAAATATTGTCAGTTACTAATATCATTCAAATTTTGCATCTTTTCTAAAGTGATGATCAACTTTAGACGAAATACTAAACACATTTTGGTGCTGTTAAGTTCTCCGATTTAGATGGTCTAAATTGTGACTTACTTACTTACGACTGTTACTCCCAATGGAGCATAGGCCGCCAACCAGCATTCTACAACCCAACATTGTCCGGATATTCCATGTACCTATAAAAATTGTTGCTCTGGTTGTAAGGAGGTGCATCAGCCTCATGACTTCCGAAAGAATTCGGTTTTCTTTATGAGACGCTATAATTATTCTTTCAACTCCCATGGCAGACTTTAAATAGTTTGAATAATTTTTTTCTGGTTAGCGTTTTCTTAGGGAGTTAGTTTTCTACCGGATGGGGTCACTAACCCCATGCCCAACCCTCCTCTTTTATCCGGGGTTGGAACCGGCAGTGGCCCCCGTAGGAGCTACAGGCACAGTTCTAAATTGTGAAGCTTTCATTTTTGTTTTGAATAAAACCAAGCTCATATACCAGGAAAAAAATCACTCTGTCATATGTGGGAACCACGTCAGAAATCACCATAAGGATTTCAAAACCTTTTCAGATCAATATGCTCCACAAACAATCACAATCACTTTATTCCATTTTATGCAGACCAAAAGACACAACAGTGAAAGAATACAAATACAACTTCAACTACATATTAGATTAAACCAACCTACAGAAAATTTACTTGAACAAATTAGACTCCCCATTCACTTACGCACACACGAGTAAAAACGATCATTGAAACGTCATGGTACTTTATCGTTGACCAACCGTGGAGATAAAATGTTTAAATTCTGGTTTATCATTATCTAAGTGACATAAAGAACCAGACCAGAATAGTAAATGATCAAAATCATCTTTATCTAATTTACATCTTAATATTCTTTCAATTGCATAACCATTTTTATAAATTGTATAGTTACAATAGTAAAAAGTATGTGTGAATAGGAGAATTGGTCAATAAATAGATAAATTAGAGGACTATTGTACTTTAAATCAAGTTCATCAATTGATTTAACCAATCAAAACATCATGGATGCAAATAACATATCAACTGAGTGATTTCCTCAATGTGTGTCCTATTCACTTCCAGTACTTCTTCCTGACTTCTTCCTCCACTGGATTCTGTTTTGTTCTCTCCCACAGTAACTTGTTGCTGATAGTGTCTGGCTAAAATTATGATTATGTACGTCGATAATCCAATAAAACAATTTCGTGTCAGTCCTAACTAATGTAGGCATGGAACAGTTATAGGAACTTTCTAATGTCCGTAATTTGCATTATGCTAATGATCTATCACTTAATAAGAAGACGTATGACAGCAATGATTTTACTAAAAATTATGAAGTAAGATTGTATTGTGTTGTTTTGGGATATGATAGTATTTGACTACAGAAGTTTACCTTAAGTCACAAAGACAGTAAATTTGGTATTATTCCCAGTGCGAGAATAAAATGACCAACGGACCGAATCTACGAAAGAATAAGTTTTCATTAGATATTGACGAACAAATAGCTACCTTCTGGTGAAATTATTCTGTCCCTATATTATAATTTTCAGACCATATCATAAAGAATTATGAAAAACAATTGGAAAGAGATTAAAGAAGCAATAACTTCAAAATGACATATGCTGGGATTGTAAAGTTCGGAATGCGAAACGAAGCTCCGAATACATCTTACCATTGAATAGCACAGATAATTAAGTCACAAGCACACCAAGTGGATTCGAGCAGAAATGCTGGTGAGGGCTAGCGAGCGAATGCAAAGACTAATTAAGAGTTGAATGAAGAATCGAATGAATCAATGACATTCAAGCACAATTATAAGTATGGTAAAGCGAATGATTCTTTCAGCGAATCTAGCAACTAACACTCAAGCTAGAAAGAGGGATGCAAAATGTGATCAAGCAAATATGTTCATACGGACACGATAATACTAATGTCAAGATCTTCACAATGTTATTATGCTGTTAAATAAGTTATTTGAAAAGTTTAAAAAACTAAACAAGAACAAACTTAATTGTAGGAAATGTACTTTAGGCTGATGAAAGGTAGAACAAATAAACAGCAATCAATAGGGCTTCTCACTCTCGTCATTTCTTTTTATCCAGCTGTTTGACTACATTACAGAGACCTCCATATCTCAGAACAAGCACGGAGTGCAGTAGACAGCTCAAGAAATGTCCAAGTGTTTCTCACATGTTTACATTGTATATTAATATGACCTACTTCAGTTATCGATTGTTCACTGAATAGAATTTTTTGTCTTTACTTTCACTGTGTCGTCCATTGTTCAGACATTTATCGGTTTAATTTTGCATAGGTGTATATGATCGGAAGTGTATTGCTAATAGCTGGATAACTCGTTTTATTTAAACTAAATACAATGTAAATAAGTATAGATATTGAAAGGACAAATGGTAGTACAATATTGCGAATTGAATGAAATTATAAATGTAAACTATTGGATGTCATCTCAGAAGTCTTAAGTGTGGTGTTTATGTGAACCGATGATTCCTTTGTATTTGATGACTGCATAATTTCGAATTCTAAATACAATATATGCGTTCGTGTACGTCTAGTACTTCTTGATGAAATTGCATTATTTCTGGGATTCCTAGTTTCCTCTATAATTCAAATCGTTGACCAACCGTGGAGATGAACTCAACTGTGAAAACTTCAAAATTGTCAATCGAGAGAATCTTCAAAATGATAGAGAACTTCTAGAAGCGTGATGTAAAGTCAGTCAACAGTGTAGATCTAATCAATCAATCTATACACCGATTAGCTACACTATAGGGATTTAATCAACCATGAGATCAAAAGGAATACAAAGAAAATCGGTGCAAAAGACAAAGGAAAAAGTCATTTCAATGACATAATTTAGTGTTTATGCAATAACTCAACAGCCCATTTCAAAATGAAATAGGCTCTCATGGCAACGTCCAGAACGACAGCTTCAAAGAACTCAACTACACTAAAATCATTCACTTGAACTACAAGTCTTTCCCATCATTACAAAACCCATTGTTGAAACTCTTCATGGATCGGTTGAAGTTAGATATTAACACCATTGGATACCGACCAGCTCAATGTTCTATCGGATAAGTGCTCTGGCGCGAGACTGTTAGGTTATGGGTTCGAATCTCGCAAGGTGGGATCGTAGAAGTGCACTTCTGAGGAGTCCCATAATAGGACGAAATGGACGTCCTGTACTTCCAAGTTTTCCATGGTAGTCTATCTTGAATTGACTCATGATTTCAACTATGGAAACTCTATTTGTTCACAATAACTTACCTTCACTTTTTGTTTCGTTTTCTTTACAGATATAACACCTTTACGATGTTGTTGATTCAATTTACTCGCGAATTCAATACATATATGATTATAATTCCGTGTAATTTGACATGTTAGAAACATAGCTAAATCCCCAATACATGCAATACCTAAAATTGACTATAAAGGGAAAGGAAATCCAATTGTCTTATCTATCATACATTGAAATGTACTATAGTATCCAATTGTCTTTGTGGATGATTCATTGTATATAACCATTGTTGACCAATGATAAAATGTTTAAATTCTGGTTTATCATTATCTAAGTGACATAAAGAACCAGACCAGAATAGTAAATGATCAAAATCATCTTTATCTAATTTACATCTTAATATTCTTTCAATTGCATAACCATTTTTATACATTGTATAGTTACAATAGTAAAAAGTATGTGTGAATAGGAGAATTGGTCAATAAATAGATAAATAAGAGGACTATTGTACTTTAAATCAAGTTCATCAATTGATTTAACCAATCAAAACATCATGGATACAATTAACATATCAGCTGATTGAATAAACATCATTTCTAGTCATCTGATTGGTTGTTGTGAGATTCTGTATATTTGAATCTAAATTCTTTAATTGAAATTAATCATAAAATGAAACTGTAATCTTAATATTATAGAAAAGATCAAAATCATAGATTTGTAGCGACCTACTTTTCTTGACGAGAACGCGATTGGTATAATGGAAACAATGAGTATTATAACCAATTGTTCTAGTGATTGTTTTACTGTACTCGCTTTTGTTTAACTGTATCAAAATCACTTTTCGTTCCGTTGTACATATGATAGTATTTGACTACAGAAGTTTACCTTAAGTCACAAAGACAGTAAATTTGGTATTATTCCCAGTGCGAGAATAAAATGACCAACGGACCGAATCTACGAAAGAATAAGTTTTCATTAGATATTGACGAACAAATAGCTACCTTCTGGTGAAATTATTCTGTCCCTATATTATAATTTTCAGACCATATCATAAAGAATTATGAAAAACAATTGGAAAGAGATTAAAGAAGCAATAACTTCAAAATGACATATGCTGGGATTGTAAAGTTCGGAATGCGAAACGAAGCTCCGAATACATCTTACCATTGAATAGCACAGATAATTAAGTCACAAGCACACCAAGTGGATTCGAGCAGAAATGCTGGTGAGGGCTAGCGAGCGAATGCAAAGACTAATTAAGAGTTGAATGAAGAATCGAATGAATCAATGACATTCAAGCACAATTATAAGTATGGTAAAGCGAATGATTCTTTCAGCGAATCTAGCAACTAACACTCAAGCTAGAAAGAGGGATGCAAAATGTGATCAAGCAAATATGTTCATACGGACACGATAATACTAATGTCAAGATCTTCACAATGTTATTATGCTGTTAAATAAGTTATTTGAAAAGTTTAAAAAATTAAACAAGAACAAACTTAATTGTAGGAAATGTACTTTAGGCTGATGAAAGGTAGAACAAATAAACAGCAATCAATAGGGTTTCTCACTCTCGTCATTTCTTTTTATCCAGCTGTTTGACTACATTACAGAGACCTCCATATCTCAGAACAAGCACGGAGTGCAGTAGACAGCTCAAGAAATGTCCAAGTGTTTCTCACATGTTTATATTGTATAATAATATGACCTACTTCAGTTATCGATTGTTCACTGAATAGAATTTTTTGTCTTTACTTTCACTGTGTCGTCCATTGTTCAGACATTTATCGGTTTAATTTTGCATAGGTGTATATGATCGGAAGTGTATTGCTAATAGCTGGATAACTCGTTTTATTTAAACTAAATACAATGTAAATAAGTATAGATATTGAAAGGACAAATGGTAGTACAATATTGCGAATTGAATGAAATTATAAATGTAAACTATTGGATGTCATCTCAGAAGTCTTAAGTGTGGTGTTTATGTGAAGCGATGATTCCTTTGTATTTGATGACTGCATAATTACGAATTCTTAATACAATATATGCGTTCGTGTACGTCTAATACTTTTTGATGAAATTGCATTATTTCTGGGATTCCTAGTTTCCTCTATAATCCAAATACTTCTTGTTATCACAGGTGGCTCGTTCACACTCGACGATCAATCATATCCTACTTACAATACCACCTATCAAATTCATTTTAAGATGGGCTAACGACACTCCCTATTGCTTGTGTTAAAACAGATAGACTGTGATTTTAGTCGACATCATAACTACAGATGTCAAAGTTGGCAAACAATTGAATGACAGCTTAATATTTCAAAAATCTTGCACAATGCACAATCGAATCAAGCATAGTAAATAAAAATCATCAGATGAGTCATAAGTGGTATATACGAAAAAACAATTCGTACAATGATGTTGAATGCCGTGGAGCTCAAACTCCCTTTCGTTCTACTGTATGTTTCTCCTTCTATGGATAGACTGCCATTACTTATGTTATGATACCAGAGTAAGGTAAACAGAAGACAAACACAAGCTGAACGCTTTTCTTCTATTCCATCCAACCTAAATCCACTGAGTCATATATTTGTTATTATTTTCTACTTAATTATTTAGTAAGTACGGGTTCATGGCTTTGATCAAAATGTAAGTGTGGGAGCTAGTGATACTGATCTTTAGACTATACTGAAGTAGGTCAGGAGGAGCTCGGACCTGCGACTACATGGCTGAAAGTCGAATGACCTGAATATTTAATCATTGTTCTACTCAGTCAACAACTGACATACTTCCTTTATCTATGACGTATTTTCAAAGCATAAGTGTTACTCATTCGAAACAGGCAATTACCTACCATGCATAACGTCTATACAAGCCATTTCAATGGACTCAGTTTCGTGTATACATTAGGCGACGTGATTTTATATCTGGAATAATCTGTGGAGTTACTATAACACTTTGTGAAGCAGTAGTTGGTAGATATCTGCAAGTTATGTTGCAGCTTGCCTTTTCAACATTTTATATATTGTTGCTACTGAACTACAAAAGAAAACTCCACACTTTGCACTTCCAGGGTGGCTGCCGGTCACAAGATCGTGTAAAAGAGGAGAGTTCAACATTGGTTCGGCAACCTCATCCTGTAAAAAAGCGTTGCTCAAAATCGCGCTCACCGGAGTGGACACCGAAATGGCCTGAACTCTGTTATACGAGTTCAAAGGTCTTCATTCAGAAGAACTGTGATGCCTTATGGTGGTCCATTTGAGATTACTGGAAGACGCATCGGGCAGTCCTGATAGTAACTTGTTGGTATATGATGATATATACTCTCAACATTTGAAATATTACAGTTCACTTATTATTATTGCTGGCAATTGGCTACACAGATCACTGGATATAATTGCGAATACGTTTGCCCAAACCTTTGTAAGGGCTCTCGCGTGTCCTGTCCTTGGACGATGTCCCTCTAAAATTTGGCTAGTTATTAAAACGTGTGGTCTACAATCCATTTCATCAGGCGTTTACCAAATTGATTTTCGAGCTGAGAACCTGTGGTGATATTGTCGCCTAACCATATGATTTCTAAAGGTAAAAATATAATAAGTGGGAAGATTTTCATTCAACATTTAACACTTGGAGAAAGTCAGAAATTATAAACGCGGAACGCTCAACCAGTATGGCTTGGATCGGCCATACAGACACAGTCACTCTTTGAGACTTTTCCCTTTTCGTATTCAGTAAACAATTCAACCACAAGTCAAAAATGTTCTTGAAAAGCCTTGAAAAGCGCTTTCCTGACTGACACGCAAGACGAGTCAGTATAGGCAGTGATGCGACTTCCATGAGTGATCTGATAGATTAAATAGTCACATCATCGTACGTCTATAATGATGGAACCGGTCTACTATTCTAGTAGCAAACATAAATGTATTTATACTGGTCAAGACGTTAAGTTCTACGAACACAATCACCATTCCATTGTACTACCACTTGTAATCTTCGAAGGCTTATATAAGCAGGTTGGTCAAGCTACAGTTGGAAGAATCAAATGCTCCATACATAGTTTTAGATCACACTACCTACTTGGGAGAAAACTATTTCGTGACTTGCAAAGGAGAGCATTTGGGTTGACAATCACTGAGAGATCCATTTACACCGTCATCCAAGAGCTTACCAATGCAGACAACAATGAAAATGGTTTGAAACTTAAAGCTGCAAAATTGTTACCTCGTTTGTATGTGGACGTGACTGCTTATTTTTTCAACCGGAAGCCAGTTCACTTTTAACTAAGAAGCTTTCGAAGAGTGTGGAGACTGGAAAATAGAGCAGATCTTTACATTTGTTCAAGGCTCTGGATTAAATCTCACATGAACCTCAAGATTTGTATAGGCTGGAAGGCCTCAGAATTTTTTTACCCTGATATGTTCAAACTCCATGACCCCTGAATCACTGTGGGAAATGACAAAATAGTTGTCGGTAGACAGGGACTTATCTGAACAGCAATAGGGCAATCAGTTATCAATTGACTAGTAGCCCAGTAAAATCACTATGAGAGATTCGCTAAACTGAGTAATTCCGATTTAATGCATATGATGTAGTTTGAACTGATATCTTCGCACAGTCATGTGAAAGCTTACGAGTGGTTTTCATTGACATCAAGAATGAATAGTCATACAGTCCAACTTGATTTTCAGGGTTTATTTGTTGATAGGTACTGAATAGGATAATGGGTTACCTGTGTTGTTTGAGAAATGCTATTTTAGTCAAACCTTTAGCTTGTTCCAAATAATTTTGCGGATAATCACCAATGCGCATCACGACTCAATCCCTAACTTGGAATCCGGAAGGGAAGCGGAAAAGAGGAAGGCCAAAGAACACACTACGCCGGGAAATAGAAGCCGATATGAAAAGGATGAATAGCAACTGGAAAGAACTGGAAAGGAAGGCTCAAGACATAGTTGGATGGAGAATGCTGGTGAGCGGCCTATGCTCCTCCACAAGGGGTAACAGGCGTAAGTAAGTAAGTATTGAATTCAGTTATACTAATTCCAAAAGTCCATTACTTGATCGGAGAAAATGTAATCTAACCTTTGAGCTGGTCCATCACTCTCCCATTAATAATGCTGAGTTGTTTTCTTACACACTAAATTCCGCTGAAACTTCATGCACATAGTTCCCTTTATCATTTTGGAAAGAACAAGAACAAAGATTCTTGCAGAATAGTAGGAATTCTCCTAATATGCCTGAAATATTACTAGTCGGTTTGGAGCTTTTGTCTGAAGATCAAGATCGTCCGAGTCACCAGACGGTAGTAATTGAAATAAATTATTTAAAAATATCCTGTAACAGCCTGAAGAACCAAACTATTAAGAGTGGCTACGGCTCCAGCATGTCTACAAAATAATCAGACTATATAGGTCATATAAGTCATTGTTAAAGTGTGGTGAAGACTGATAGTAAAAAAATATTACAACATTGTCACGAAGACAAATGATTCAAATAAATTATTTGACACATTGGCAGAAAAGCACATGAATTTCGAAAAATTGTTTTAATTAGCCACACTCATAAATATACATATTAGGATAGAAACGCAGAGCGTGGGTAGTTAAACGTATATCAACATGACAACAATTGAGTATGGTGGAGGGCCATCACTTGAGCAACGTCGGGCATTTGCAAATTTGGAAGAGGGGGGACATGTGCCTGGGTAAATTACTTTTGTCAACCATATTGAATTTCCATTTTTATGAACACAGGACTTTATTGAAAAATTGTTGAATATTAGTTAGAAGTTTATATCAATAGTTATCACTTCGGGCAATATTTTAAATGAAAACTTCAGAATAGAAATGTAAATTTTTATCTCGGCCAGAGATATATACTGAATAGGAAATCTAATTTCGCATTTTTATTTGACTACACAACTAACTAATGTACTTTTTATGATTGTATGCACAATATCTTTTCCAAATGTATATAGAATAGAGACTAATGGGTTGAGGGGTTTCAACTTGTCGTCCTCATAAGAAGTGTTATTTGATTTGGAATACAGTCTTTGGTGTTTAAAGAATATCAGAATCATGTCTTTGTGACTTGATTTTTAGTGTCTTGTTGCTCTAGCTGCAGTTTGATTTTACTTGACTCACGTTAGAGAATAATAGGATGAAATGCGTTGAGTACGGGAATGGGTTTTGGATACTTACATTTATTCACTCGTTCCGCCAGACAATAAGAGAAATGTAGCTGAGAAGAACCGGGGAAAGTAAACATATTAGCTCGCTATACTACTCGTTAAAAACGTTAATATAGCTCAAAACGGACAGTTGGTAGTGTGGCAAAGAGGCAGGCATTGTATAAAACAATGAGTGGCAGACAAACACACAAGGTTCATAAGTGCGGAAATAGAACGACAAAAAGTAAGGGATCTATGTTAGCTGAAGCGCACGTTTTCATATAAAAAGAACAGGGTTAACGTGAAAGTTAAAATAAATCAAAGTTAGGTGCTGTCTAGTGTACTTAAGTCCATTCAACAGCTTTCGTGAATCATGTAATTGTCAATTGGTACTACAAAGTACAATTTAAAACGCTTAGTCCGTGCTTTACTAGAGGAATGATGTCAACCTAAATATAGAATATATGAATACTAAACCCAACACGTCTTCAACAGTTAAGTTGGTAAATTAGTAGTGCCATATTGTAGCTGAAAGAAACATGTGTGGGTTGTTAAGGTAAGGGATTCATCAAACTAAGTTTTTCGATGGATGTTTAAGATACAACTCTGATGTTGTCAGTTTTTATAGCCTTAATTAATTGGATGGATTTAAACACTAACGACATGTTCTAAACTACGATGCACACTATGCTTGGTGTACGCGCTTATTATCTATTCGTGTGATCGTTTTTAACTTGATAAACTTTGATCTTTGGGCAAATATTCTATTTTATAGATTTTAGTGTTGGTTTTGTTCAGGATTTAAGAAACACAGAAAATACATTATTATCTTGGTACAAATGAAATTAGCATTACGTTAATTCTTCCAATTTATTGTACTTTGCCTAGTTGTCTTTATTTATTTCTATATTGATACGTCTGATAAGAAAACACTAAGGAATAGTGGTCAGTGCTATAAGTTCATTAAAAGAGGTTGAGGGTTTCAGATAAAGCCACATTAATATTTTTAAGTACATCTGAGGATCATTTACTAGTAATTTCGGGTTTCTTTGTGTGTCAGTGTAGACCTGTAGTCGACAAACATTTACAGCTCATTAAATAAGCCGAGTTCTAGGGAAAAGTCTTGCGCGTAACTTTTGAATACATCTTTCGGTTTACTCTGAAAACTGACCTCAACACAACTTCTTATAAGTTACTCATAGAGTTTATTTCATTTCTTTATATATATATATATATACTTAGTTCACAACTATAATTAGGTTTACTTAGAACTGCTGTTTATGTTGTTAATCTTTTTGTTGTGTGGCAATTAAATAATGACGTTTTGGATGAATAAGCATTCATTGTGATCTCATAATTGCTGTTAACTATTGTTCTCTCCGTCAAAATCCGTGAAATCTCTAAGTATTTTGTTAGATAGCCATAAGAAATGAATATGTGCTATGTGTAACCAGGAATTGATATATTCATAGATTGACATTTGGTCATATAAATTAGAAATGAGAGATTAAGTTCATCTCATAGTTTTTCAGATATTCGAGTTGTCTTACAGACGTAAAGTTTTGTTTTCTTTAAAAAAAGATGTTATTTTCCATGAGACTGTATTTGATCGATTAAAGTTGCTTATGTGGAATTCCTGTTCGAATTTATTCTGCCGCAGAATGAATCGAGATCCGATTTTATATAGGTTATTTCTTGATGAATGTATTATCGTACTATAAAAAAAAACAATGGACATAGTTATTTGTTGATCTATTTCTGGTAGTTAGGAATTACAACGGAAATAACTTTTAGATTTAAGGCAGTGTAAATTAATCTGAAAATGCATGCCGTACACATATCGTTTAATCCTGAGAAATATTAACACATTAGAAATTAATGGATTTACTTATCCATTAGTAAAATTAATAAGCATATTCATAAATTTCTCAACTACTTCCTGGATAGTCTGAAATAAGCATTATAGAAAGCAATGAAATAGAGTTATACTATTGACAATAAATTAATAATATATTCTTTTTACCCAAGTGACATAAATATATCATTATTTTATTATTTTCTGCTCAATGCTCAGTTAGTAGTAGTAGTATCTTTCAACTGATTAAATGTTCAACCATCATTTTATTCATTTGATGCGAACATTTTGTTTATGTTTAATGAAATTCGAATATCTTCAAGACTAATTATGTTCAATATAAAATAGAAGTTGAAGTGTTTGTAAGAAAATATGTTTATAGTGAAATGGTTAAATTGTGGGTTTTTTGTAATACCGCTTATAAGAATGGTTTATAAAGTATATTTACTTAAACACATAAATATTCGTATAAAGGGGCACCAGTTATATATGCGCCACACAAATCTCATTTGATGTGTGTGAGGGCTGTGATACTGCCCGGCTGCCCAGAGATAAACAGATGGTTTTCTTAGGGGGCCACACACGGAACCTTCGAGCATAAGATCTGATCCACAATGCAGTGGAGCATCGTAAGGAGATGCAGTCCCATGGTAGCCGGTGACCAACGATTGATTCACACACCATTTGTTCTTTTAGGGTACTGGAGCCCATATGCACCACTGGTTTCGAACCATGATTTTCCAACTCCCCTAGGTGGACTTTCCATGTCCATCAATCCGGTTAAAGCACCGGGCATCCGCTTTCCGTCCTCTCAATTTCGTAAACAACATCGGTGTCACGAGAAAGCAGTGAGTAGGACTTCTCTGGCAGAGGCTATATACGCGTGGCCATGTGAGAGCATTTGGAGAGGGAGAGCGGACTCTCCACACTCTTGGCCGTACGAGGGCATTTGGGGCCTATGAATAAAAGTGCTTACAGTAGATTGTTAAGTTAAACCATAAATTTAGTAGCTTTAGCATGAGATTTACAGATAGTCGTAAAATCTCACTATGACGATTCCGTACAAATGAAAGTGTATACACTCTTTATATCCCTTTAAACCTTAAGATTAAAATCGCTGCTAATGAGGTATGGCAACTTGGACCGATGCATAAATGTGCCTGGTCCTACGTTGTAGCTGACTAACTGACTGACAAATGAAGGTTGGTCATGTACACCTGATTAGTTGGTTAATATAAATATTATTTGTACATTCATGTAAGAGTAAATCATTTAAAGTCTACAGACATTTGGACTTCGATGAATATTAAATTCAATCAAATTTGTGTAACTTAATTTTAATTTTACTTTTAGATATATGGGATTTTGTCCACAATTTAAATATAGATATGGTCATACTTTTGGTAAAGAAACATCAGAAATAGCTAAAGTAACTTGTTTGTTTGTTTGAATGAACTTATTTTAAATTATATAGAATCTACCATATTATTTTGGGCCAAGAATTCAAGTGAGTATTATCTATTTTTTCATAAATGATTGATTCCCTGTAGGGATCACATCATTTTTACCCTGTTACTAGGGAGAATAATAAATTTGATCCATTAAGATCTAAGTTTAATGATGATGTTCCTGGAAGAATGTTACCAAAATCAACAGGAGATAATAAATATACAGAAGGAATGGTACCAGGATATTCTGGTATGTATACACTATTCATACACTATTTCAATGATTATTATTTTTTAGGTAATATACCACAAATGAATTTTAAATTTGGTCGAACATATCGTAATCTATCTGATGAATGCGTTGATCAATTAGTTAAAGAATATAAATCTTCTGAGTTAAGACAAAACAGATTGAAAGAATCATCCAACTGGATGACTAATCTTCATCCTGTAACATATGATCCTTTAGTTAAGAATCATTTAAATATATGGACTGATGATATGGTTAAGAAGAATTCTGATGTTCATTCGTATATGAGTTCAACTGAACCACCTATTCCAGGTTATAAAGGTTTTATACCTCGTATGGATACAACAGAAAGTGGTTTAGCTAAACGTTTTCATGAAGCTGCTCAAAGTAGTTTAGAAACATTTGGAGCTGAATGTAAAAATCATTTTGATCATATGGATATGCCGATGACTAGATTAGATATGTAAGTTGAAAAGATTTTATATACCGTTTGTGTAAAGAATAAAGGTAAACGTTAAGCCGTTTTGTTCTTATTATGAATTGATTCAATATAACAAAAGATGAAACTGTAAAGATGAGAAGTCAGAATAGTAGGAGGTTTCTTCCTGCCAGACATACAAAGAGTAGTTTGTATAGAAGGAACTTGCTTTTAATAATGGAAAAGTATGCAAACTGGAAATACTGAATATTTATAAGTAGTATAGATTTATGCAGAAAATAAGAAGCATAAAAAGAAGTACAATAAATTGTTTCTTCAATTATAATCAGTGTTAATATGAATATCCAGTAGTGCACGAACTCATGAATGGTATTCCTTTGAACTTGTGTAAACGATCAAAAAATTATCAACCATAGTTCTTGAGTATCAACAATACCAAATTACAACCTGCTTAACAAGTTAGTGATTGACTATGTGAAATCAGTAGGCCAATGAATAAAACTTGGAGATTTGGATTGATAAGTACGAAATTTGAGTGTCGGTATGAAAATAGATACAGCGATGCAGGTACATCTAGCACATAATTCTGAAATATGACAAAATGCGTCTCACGAATTCCACTTATGGCCATTTACCGTACAAACTATATCATTATATTCTGAATACAATATCAGGTAAAATCCAGGACTAAATAGGATGGCTGTTGATGAAATATTTCAAACTAGAACAAAATAAATGTTCAATGTACATTGATTTTTATAGATTCTCTAACTTAAATCTTCACAAAACCCCCTTCTAATAATGATCATATGCTCACTAGTGACTGGCTTCATGAGGTATTTCCTGGAGTTCTAGTGATAAGCAGTAACCAGTGGAGTTCAAGCAGGTGTGTTGTGAGATGGCAAATCACTGAGGACATTGGTGAATGTTTGCTCAATTTCGTGGATTGGTTGAAGTTAGACATTAACACCATTGGCTGCCGGCTGGCTTAGTGGTCTAGTGGTTAAGCGCTCGCAAGCGAAACTGGTAGGTCTTGGGTTTGAATCTCGCAAGGCAGGATCGTTAATGCGCACTGCTGAGGAGTCCCATAATAGGACAAAACGGTCATCCAGTGCTTCCAGGTTTTCCATAGTGGTCTAGCTTCAATTGACTCATGATCTCAACTATTGAAATTACGTGCACAATCTTCTTCACATCAAAATCTTTTATTGTTTAGAGAGATCAGTTTTTTTTGTAATTTACGTGGTTGAATATGATCATACCATTTGAGACTGATAATCTTCACATTGAAATTGTCATTTCTTATTTTTAGTTCATCACGTCCACATAGTTCAATACCATATACACCAAATAGTAATTATTATAGTGCAAGAATATTTCATCAAGAAGGTATGATCCCAGATTATGAAGGTCATATACATGGTAAGTGAACTACTCTTATTATTATTATTTAGATTAAAGTGATGTAATCTACTTGTTACTATGGAACTTTTTTGTTTTTATATAAGTAACCAAATGATCCAAGCATATTAGGTAACCATTTCAGTCAAGTAAACCTAAAATGGTGAAAAACACTTGTCAGTTCTCTTGAACATGTAGTGAACAAGAATACAACTGTGGGGACAATTGAATGTATTTAAGGAAAAAATTACAGACTATCCCACTAAATTCTGATTACCATACAATGGACAGTTAACTTGCAAAATAACCATCAATGGTCTCAATCTTTACTATTCCTTCTGTAAATATAAGTTCACCTTCTCTAATTTCATTGTTCATGCATTTTCCTACCAATTACGCTTCAGTTCAGTTCTTTCCTTATCGGTCTTCTGCCAAAATGCGTTCTATGTCTGACCATCACCATATACTACTCATATGGATATAAGTAATCCACATAACACGCTTGATATAGCAAAATGACATAGAGAGATATTTCAGTTTCATCATGGTAATTGATGATTATTTAGTCATTTAAATGTTCTGTTTTATATTTCATCTTATCAATCTTTATTCGTACCACAGTTATGTTTATTCATGGTTAAACTGTATGAATGAGTCTTGTTAAACTATATGAAATGTTCATTTAGTATTGTTTGTTTGAATCTTCCCATCGCACAAGGAAGTGGCTATCAGGACTCGGTGGCCGAGTGGATAACGCAATGGCGTTTGAAGCGAAAGGTACTTGGTTTGAGTCTCAGAGTGAATATCAAGTCTGAGATGTAGGTACATCCAGCTGACGAGTCCCAAATAGAAGGAAACGCTTGTGCTGGATTTCACTGCTAGCCACTATCCATGTTTGCTTATATGAAATGTTTGTTAAATGAATTGAGTAATAAAAATGATGATTTAAGTTTGTGAAAATTCAAACTGTAGTTTATGAGAGACAAAACTCTTTAATATCACATTCAATCTTCATGTGGAGAATGATATTCGGCGGCCTATGCTGCATTGGGAGTAACAGGCGAATGTAAGTAAGTAGGTGAGTAATTGAGTACGTAAGTAAGTAAGTGAGTAAGTAAGTAAGTAGGTAAGTGATTACCTAAGTACATAAGTAAGTAAGTGAGTAAGTAAGTACGCGCGTTAGTAGGTACGTAAGTGAGTACGTAAGTAAGTAAATGTATTTCACAAACATTGTTATCTATTGTCAATTGTATAAACTTATAGTCAGTTATGGAATCATGAAAAGACTCCGTTTTATTGCAGTCATAATGGGGGAAAAAAACACCTTCAAAAACTGATTTTGTAGCCTATAAAATTATTATTTAAAAAACACTGGTAGGTCCTGGGTTCAAATCTCGCGAGTGCGGGATCGTGGATGTGCACTGCCACCAAAGTGTCCCACAAAAGGACGAAACGGCCATCCAGTGCTTCCAGGTTTTTCATAGTGGTCTAGCTTCAATCGACTCATGATTTCAACTATGAAAAGAACAATTTTGTCAATTTTCATTTTTTTATTTCTATTTTGTGAATAGGTTATCAATATCATGTTGGAAAGAATTTTGGTAATACAACACGTGATTTAGAAGTATGTGCTCATCCATATTCTTGTTATGGAGAATATTTAAAAATAAAAAATTTAACTAAAAAATATCTTTCATAGTAACAAAAACCAACTTGACTTTTTTTTTCATCTTTATTACTTGAAGCAGCTAACATGACGAATTTTTTAAAATTTGAATGAGCGCCCAAAATGATTTGTTTTAATTTATATTTTCTTTATTCTTGACTTTGTGTGTGTGTGTGTGTGCGTAGGTGTGTGTGTGTGTCATACCTTTTTTTTCTTGATAATATGACTTATTTTCTATATGGATGACAAATTTTTTTGTTATTTCTAGTCATTTCACTTTTTAGTTGTCAACCAGAGATTATTTTTATAATAGATATATCCATCCATGCCCCAACCCTCCTCTTTTATCCGGGTTTGAGACCGGCATTAACTTTAGAAGAGGTACAAGTGAAGTTATTGTTAAGACATACGACAATCGTTAACAAAAAAAGGAAAGAAAGAAAAAACATTGAAAATCTATGAATATTTTTGTTTAGTTATTTTTATTTTATTTTTCCTTCAATAAAACAATCGTCAGTTCATATGTCACTATGTTATTGTTGTTGTTTACTATTCTGTGTTTTTAATTTAGTCAGTTTAATAAAATAGAAATATCGGTGGTATGTTATTATTAATTAGTCAGTCAGTTAAAACGTAGAACCAGGCACATTTACACATCGATCCAAGTTGTCATACCTTTGGTAGTGCTCTCCAATGTGCCCTGAAATCTAAAAATCAAAATCATATATTCCGAAATAAGAAGTTGACTATGAGACAGGAGCGTTGCAGATCATTCATAAAACCAAATTAAGTCTTTCGACAGGTGCACACACATAGCTTCATTTAATTTAAAAAAATGTTGGAAATTTACTGTCAGATTTATGCGTATGCAAACAGTGTGTAATGACTATTACACTGTCAGGAAGCTAGCTGAATCATTGTCCTGTATATTCCTTTGCATACCACATTCACAAATGTGTTTACAGGTTATTAACTCTCATATATATTTGGAAAATATGTGACGTTCTCCTGATTTTGAACACACGAATATATTCCAATACCATTCTGTCGCTTGAGGTGATCAGCTTCAATCAGTTATAATTTTCATTTATACTGATCTGTATTAGCCTACATCGAAATTTCCCTCTTGTCATACAATTTATCGTCGATTTGAGGACTAAATTCTTTACATTCTAAGACGAACTACATACCATGGCAAATAAGCTTACAGTGAACGGTGAATTAGTGTGCGAAACCAATTCATCATTCCGTTCAAAATTCTAGAGTGTCTTTAAAAATTATAGAAATTACACATTAAATACTTCACTTGTACACCATCTATCGGTTTTCATTTACATTCTTCATAATTTTGTCAAGTGTGTTTGTATACCGATTGCACATTAGAATTATCACACTTGCTCAATATATTACAGCTGCATTGATTCACCTCATCATCATATCCGATTCAAATGAAGAATGACAACATCATTCACAGAGTATCAAAGAACTAGTAGACAACAATCTGCAACCAACAGGGATAAGGCCTGACACATATAAAGAAGACGGTAGTAAGTAGTCGACTTTGGTAGATGTGATATCTCATTGACGAACTTGAAGATTGAATTTCGATCAGTCTTTTTGGTATATTTGCAAATTGTGTGATTTGCATTGATCTAAGCATTGTGACACTAGTTATTTACAATTGATGGATTGTAGCGGGCAGTGTAATCCAGCATTCGTTTCTCATCCTTTTTGAGGTTCGCCAAGCGAAAGCATCAACATCAGTATTGATTTCTACACCGAGACTAGAACCAAGTACCATCCACTTCATGTAGTTCATATTTATACATGAACTCGGGTTTGAGAAGTTAGTTCCAGAATGTTGAATGATATGAGTAGATTGCAGTTAACATCGTGATTCACGGAAATCAGTTATCATTTTGACGAGTGACTGTCGTCTAACTGTTTTATTCACTATATCCCTCATACTATTCTCATTTCCATCACTAACTAGTCCGATTCTTATTGCAGGTAAACCATATTAGAACTCAAACATCAATTGATAGGCATTTAATTTCACACATTAAAATCGTTTACAGCATCAATGTTTTCAACATAAACAAATAAGAGTTAGTTAATATTAACGGTGAATATTGTTAATGAAAGAAGAAATTTGTGATTGGTTATATTGACAATGGGGGTCAATGAGAAATGAGTTAAGTCCAGTTCAGCGTTCGCAAATTCAAATTCATTTAGTTTTCGTCGTTACCTTTAATTCTAACAGAAACAAAAGAATGATGTGTAATATAATAAATCATACAAGTGTACATTGGAAGTGAACAACTGGACAAAAGTAACACTGTTTAATGGATCTTGATCAACATGTTTGCATTCATTTGATCAAATGTGATGTTGATCCCACTAGAGTAATGGATCAGAAAATCACCATGTTGTCGAGTGTCAACTACAATCGTAAAACATTTATTCAAATCTACTTTTCCTTAGACTGTCTCTCAAATATCCATTTGAATAGATATTTCAATTCAAAAGCAACTGTGTATTAAATCGAGTGAACCGACGTGTAGTTGTACGTAACTGTAATTTGCGTATTTCAATTATCCAAACACAGAATAGGTCGTCTCCATACAACATACAACACATACTACATAATATTGTCAGTATATTTGATTCAATAGGTTACTTACTTATCGCTTTGAGTATTTTTGATAGATAATCATGCTTAACTGAAATGTGGGAAAATGAAAGAAAATCACCAAATGACTGAATGTTCATTTACTTCAATATCTATCTCATCAATAATGAGAAGACTAAGAAAATAAATCGGTGGTTATTTTCCGTTTATGTCACATATGGTGTTTGTATAGGCAATTGTTCAAAACGTTTTACTAGTTCAACAATGTTCATGTGAAAGTGATGTGTTGGCTGAATACTTGCATTTGTTTGTCGGTTAGCCAAGTTTGTTCTATCGAATCGGTCTTCAACCTCACTATCTCAACTTTGATATTTGAATGAAGAACTATCACAAGTATGGTGGATGCGTTGACTAAGAATGTTCGATCTCGGATTAGTACCAACAAACTGTTCAATTACATTTGAAGCTTCCGTGTCATTGTGATTACGTTCATTCATTAAACCATCAGGTTGAAGCTTCTGTAGACACTTCACATAGTATTACAGTTTGTGGATAACCATTGTTCAGTAAATTACATGTGGACATGACATAGTTATTCAATAAAACAATCAAAATATTCAAATATTTTATCTTACAGGATTGGATATTCGAAGATTTAACATCAATGCATTTCAAAGAAATTAGTCGAATAATTCGTAGCAATTCTGAAATACAAAATAAAATCGGTTAGGAAATCATCCATGAATATCGTTTATTTGAAGGAGTCATTCAACGTGTTTTCAGCATCAAAGTGACGAAAATCACCATATATGAGGACAAGATGGATTGTGGATAAATAACGGAGAGTCACATTGTTCTTTTCGCCATTCCCCGATATCCCCACTTATTTGTCACAGTCATTGTGATTATTTAGTCCATGATTACACCTTTTATTCATTCGA